AGGACTTGGCCTCGGCACCAAAATGAGGAAGAGGGAAACACTGGGTAAGGAAACACTTTTAGGTGACTGAGGAGAACGTGTGTCTGACGTTGTAGAGGTTCACCCACTTGGAGACAGGCTTAGCGGAGCCTGTCAGAGAAGGACTTGGTTGTTGAGTTCTGGAGCATGAAGTTAAGGTGGTAGCTTTGGCTGGATTGGGATGGCACAGAAAGTGGGGCCCTCAGTTCACACCTCTCTAAGACCTGGAGGATGATCCTTGTGGCTGGAACCAGTTTCAGACTGGTCTGGCTCATCAGCACAACCTAAAGAGGTTGTGAAATGGTAGCTCCTTTGGAGGGAGGGTGCAGCTTCTCCAGGCTGTATGGCATTGGTGACATCGAGCACAGCCGAATGATCTCTCCTCAGTGTTTGTTCCTTTCATTCAGCCAGCTATGGGGACCAGCAGAAGCCTTGGGCCTCTATGAGGGGGATTCTTGGAGGTGAACCACAAGTATCCAATTCAGGTCTGCAGTCCACGGGAGAAAGGGCTGGGGAAGCTGGTGAGAGAGGCCGAGACAGTAGAGGCTTAGAGGCTGGCTTGGGTGTTTCCTCCCTAGCTGTGTGACTAGGACAATCTACTTATTCTCTCTGAATCTTAGTGACAGTCTCTGTAGGTGAGTTATACTCTTTAATGACTTGTAATAAAAATGCCCAGGAGAGTATGATTTTTAGATTGTCCATTCTTTTTTTTTTTTTTTAGTAGGATGTGAGTCTTGGTGTTGTTATCTGTGAAATGGGAATAAAAATCCCTTATAGGGCTGCTATGAAGATTTAAGAATGATGGTAACAGTAGCAGTTAAAAAGGGATCATTTGCTTTCACGTTCACTCAAGACTCATTTTCTTGTGTATAGCTACTTAGGGACAGTGTAAGCTAGCCACCTGCCCAAGACACACAGCTAGAAGTGGTAGTGTTGAACGATGCCCTCAGGTGATCTGATTCAAGATCATATGCTCTTTTATTCTGCCTGACTCCAGTAAGATTGATACTTTTTATACACTCTAGGGCTGGTGAGACAATAGATGCGGAGGGCGCTTATTAGTATGCTCGTGCTAATTCGTGAGATGATGGGCCATTTCCAAGTGTGCAGTTCAGTGACACTGAGGACCTTGTAGTGCATTGCAGCCATCACCTTTATCTACTTCCACACTCTTTAGATTACCAACCAGCAAACCCTGAAGCCCTGAATTCATTAGCAGCCAGCCCTCCCTCCCCTCCTGCTAGCCCTAGTCATGCTGGTCTGTATTGTTTTCTGTGGAGTTCCCTGATCTGCACATTTCATGTAAATGAACTCACACAGTGTGGGCTTCTGTGTCTGGCTTCTTTCATTTAACATCATCTTTTGGAGACTTGTCTTTGTTGTAGGCTGAATCAGTGCTTTATTCTTTAGGTCAAATAATCCTTGGCCATATGGGTTGTATAGATATGCCACAGTTAGTCAGTCTACCCTTTCATCTGTTAATTGACATGGGGTCCTTTCTCACTCTTGGTTATTGTGAACAGTGTTGCTGTGACACCTGTTTCCCTATTCTCCCACTCTCCCCCCGCACCCCCCCCCCCCCCAAAAAAAAAAAAAATCAGGGCTGTAACATTCAGTGTCCCTTGAGCCCTAGCCAGGGGATAGGTCTTTCAAATCAGAGGGGAGAATTCCTAATCTTGAATCAGAAGGAGGAGACCAATCTTGAAGCCTGATGTGAGCTTCTCTCTTTCTTTGTATGCTTTGTCGGGTTTCCTTTCCAGCAGGAGGGAAGTTGAGAGTGGAGGAGGAAGGGCTCATCTCCAGCCTGAATGAAGCATCACTTTCCCATTCTTTTCATCTCTCCCCTTGTCCCTGGAGCAAAGTAGCTGGTAGGTGTGTGATCTTGGGTCCTTATCTGTAGAATGGGGATTGTGTTACACCAGGTTGGTCTAAGCCAGGAACTTGTGAAATGATGGCTTGTTTCCTTGCTGGGAACCAGGAAGTGGTAGAGACCAATTGTGGAAGATTGTTCTTAAAATGGACTGTTTCTATGGAGTCCTCCTCTAGGAGGAAGAGGAACTGAGGCTCCTCTTGTGCCATGTCTAGCTGTCAAGTGCTAGGAAGGGGTCCCTAAGGACTTCCTCTCCACGTGGAGTAGGAATTCTAACAGGTAGTCTCCTCTTCAGCACACTTGCAGACATGATTAGTCTCTGACTTCAGTTTGGAAAGATGAGCTTGATGTTGACTGTATTCCTTTAAAGTCTTTGTGAAATGCCCACCTGGTCAGGGGTCTTGCAGGTGTTACATATGAGTGGCTTTTCTTTGTCTGTGGTAGTTGGGAGAGACTAGGTGTCTGGCTTCTGGACTTCCTTGCTCTTTCTGTCACTGAGCAGCTCTCTGATCCTGAACAAGGAGTCACCAACCTTTCAGTCACTTCATCAGTAACAGTGAGGGTTAATGTGAAAATTAGTTACCTTGCTTTGTTATTGTCATGCCAGTAGTGTACTCTTGGTAAGAGTAATAGATGAGCCAGGACAACAGTTAAATACTAGGGAGTGTTTTGTCTCCCTAGACAGGAAGTTGGGAGGTAGAAAGGTTTAATGTTGGTTGATAAGAGCTCAAGAATCCAGGTATGGTCTTTTCGCCTCTGGTCTCACAGTGGGCATTCTCTCCTCATTGACTGCAGTAGCTCCAGGCATCATAGGCAGGCTCCACACAGAGAGTAGGTGGTGTTTTTTTTCCCCATGGATCTCTTTTGGATCGTGAGGAATAAAAAGCTACCTTGTGGACTGTTAGGACTTAAGTTCAGAGGATAGTGCTGACATATTTGGAAAACGAGGCCCAGGGAGTTGAGAACTCAGGCAGGCATGTTTGCTTGGCACAAGAGCGGCCTTGGAAAGGTCCGGCGGGGGAACTCAGTCTCATCTGTCGTAGAGCTTTGAGCGTGGATATGAGAAAGGAATAATATATATAATATATAGTATTTTTGGAAGTTAATATTTGGCTCTCCTTGAGTCCTAGGTTTTTGTCTTAGGAGGCAGTGTAGTCATGGGGAAGCACAGGGACCCTGCCGTCTTAGCCCTTGGTTCAGACCCAGGCTCTGTAGCTGACTTGTCCCTTGTCCTTCATGACGCCTCTGGAGAGTTTGGAAGAGTTAGTATTTGAAAACATGGAGAACAGTGCCAGCAGTCAGCGCTCTGCATGCATTTGATTAAACACATCAATGATACAGCTCAAGGTTGTCATTTTAATCTCCCAGAAATTTGCCTTTTCCTCCAAGATGCAATCCTGGAGCTTTCATCTCTGGAGCTCAGTGCTCTTTGACTTGCTGGCCCACATGGTAGTCCCCAGACGTGAGTGTTCGTTGAGTGCGTGACTCAAACAAAGGACACGGACACACAGATTGGGAAGATGCTGGGCATCAGTTACCTGTCCTGGAGTGTGGTCCACCTGTCATTCTTCCTGAGAACATAGTGTGTTAGCAGAGTGCTTGGCCCATACAGATGTTCAGGAATTGCTTGTTAAACCAGTTATCAATGCTTTCTACCTTGAGTTACTAACCTCCAGACATGTCTTATTTCCCTTATTTGTCTGTGTACAACTTGAGGCCAAACCTAGATATTTTCTTTTCTTTTCTTTTTTTTTCCTGGCAGCAGGACATAAACTTAAGATTTAGTGCCCTTGCTGAGCTTTCTTGCTCATGACTGGAGCTCTACAACTTGATCCTCATCTCTATTTTGGCATTTTGCTGGTTATTCGAGGATGGAGTCTCATAGACTTTCCTGCCTGGGCTGGCTTTGAACTGCGATCCTCAGATCTCAGCTTCTTGAGTAGCTAGGATTACAGGAATAAGCCACTGGTGCCCGGCCTCATTCTTACCTTTCAGTGGCATCCATACATAGAGTACCTACTTTAGGCACTATTCTAGGCCCAGACCAAGTTTCTGCTTTCATGTAGCAGAGGAGATGGCGATGCTTTCATGTAGTTGGAGGAGATGGTGATGGCGGACTAGAGGTCTTGCTGAAGAGGTAGCATTTTGGGCAGACTATGGGAAGGAAGGACCTCAGCACAATGCTTCGGGAGCAGGAAATACATGGATAAAGACTCTAAGGAGAAATCAGCTTCAAGAGCATGAGGGACACTGAGACCAGAGGGGCTGTGTGAGCTCCAGTTAGGAGGTTGGAACTTTATTCTAAATGTGGAGAACTCCCCCCTCCTCCACACCCCTTATTGTCTTCCTCATGAAAAACCACACTTTGAAAAATCCAGTTCACTGACAGCGCGTGCGTACTGAACAATGGAACAGCGACTTTGAATTCCTTTGAGTTTTTTAAAGTATGAGGAAATAATTTAGAGATCACCATGAATATTCTCAAGGGCATTTCCCACGCCAGTCTAAAGATTACAATTTACACTGTCAGCTAAATCCTTACCTCTTCTGTGTCAAACATTTATTCTTCCCAAAGCTGATTAAAAAAAAAATTACTGCCACCTACTGACAGGAAGGGAAAGATGAGCTGTTATACAATGAACACCCCAAGCCCGTGGCTTTCTCCCAGTGTGGCACACCTGGCTGCACGCGTGCACAATTGGGAGCTGGTTGTGGCTCAGGGGAGGAGGGAGGGGTGGCGCATGCCGGTCCTGGTGTCTTCATATTTTCTGGCCCCTGCAGTTTTTGTCAGAGTGTGTCCTTCAGCTTCCGTTCATCATGCTGGGCAGGAGGGGGGATTTGCCCAGGGATTTGCTCTAGTGCTGCCTGTGCCTTTGGGGAAGAGCATTGGTAGTCATCAGCCCCCACAGCCTCCCTAAACTGCAGTCAGTCCTTGGTAATTAACTCATGTTTCACCGTGGACTCTGTATTTCATGTCCCAAGAAACCCTAATCCTGGCCAGCTGGCCTTTTTGCTTCCTCATTGTTAAATCCTCAACCGCTCTATTTCTGATTTGCATTTTCCGTGGCTGAATGAATCTGCTGACTTCCGTTTTCTTTTTCTGTTACAGATTGTATGCGCAGGTGCCGGTGAGTACCAAAATTTCTCTTCATTCTTGTGTTGCTCACTTCTGCCTCCTAGTGGACATAGTACATCATTAACAGCGAATGTGGAAAATCACAGAAAATATAACTTGGATAAAACTGGTTTCTTTAGAAGTTGGGGTTGGTGGTGGAAACAAGTGAAAGGAAAAAATTCAATGAAGCACACAGCTCTGATTTATACAAATTATGTTTTCTAAGCCACTAGACCTGGTGTGTGCCTGTAGTCCCAGTTACTTGGGAGGCTGAGGTTGAGTTTAGTCGAGCTCAGAAATTTGGGGGCAACCTGGCAACATGGTGAGGGCCTCTTAAAAATTTTTATTTTTGCTGGATGCTGGTGGCATGTCCTTGCTCCTCAGGAGGCTAAGAACCCAGGGCTGTGGTTGAAAGCCAGCCCAGGCTGGAAACTGTGAGACTCTTATCTCCAATTAACCACCAAAAAAGATGGAAGTGGAGCTGTGGCCCTAGTGGTAGAGCACTGGCCTTGAGAAAAACCAAAACAAAACAAAACAACCCTCAGAAACAGTGTCTAAGCACAGTTTAAGAACTAGGATTGGCACAAAGAAAAATGTATTTTCTGTTGTTGATTTTTTTTTTTTTTTGCCAGCGTACACTAATGGGCAGTTGAACTCAATTGAAGTATCTTGTGTACTATTATCCTGCAAATATTTGTGTTGCTGCTTTGCTACATTTATAAAAAAGTCTACTGTGATTATATATAAATCTCTGGAAAATGAAAAGTGGTTTCATGTATATTTTGCTTTTTCATGGAAGACTGGGATGGGGGTGTAGCTCAGTAGTAGGGTGCTTACCTACATGTGGTTCTAGTTCTGGCGTCTAAAACCAACCCCTCCCCCCCCAAACAACAACAACAAAAATCAGTGTCTTGTGGAGGTCTGAGTTCTAGTTGCTGATTACTGCTGCTGGTTCTTTCTAAGATCAGATCTGTATTGAAAACAGAAAAATAAGGATGCATTAGTATTTTTGACCTTTTTTTTTTTTTTGCCAGTTCTTGGGCTTGAACTGAGAGCTTAGGCCCTGTTCCTGTCTTTGTTGTTCAACATTAGCAATCTACCATTTGAACCACAGCTTAGTGGTAGAGTGCTTGCCTAGCAGGCATGAAGCCCTGGGTTCAATTCCTCAGTACTACATAAACAGAAAAAGCCAGAAGTGGCCCCGTGGCTCAAGTGCCAGAGCACTAGCCTTGAGCTGAAGAGCTCAAGCGACAGTGCTCAGGCCCAGAGTTCAATCCCCATGACCGACCAAAAAAAGAAAAAGTTGTAGAGCAAAAGAAGTTCGAGGACAGTGCCCAGGACCTGAGTTCAAGTCCCAGGACTGGCCAAAAAAACAAACAAAAAGAATCTCATGGACATTTCTGTCCTGACTGGCTTTGAACCTTGATCTTCCCCTCTCGGCCCCTTGAATAGCTAGGATCATAGGTGTGAGCCACTGGCAACTGGTTGTGGGTCTATTATTATTATTATTATTTTGTGTGAGCACCAGGACTTAAATTCTGGGGTTTGTGTTCTCACTTGGTTTTCTTGCTCATAGCTGGCACTCTAACACTCAAGTTCAGCATTAGGTGTCATGGACTTTTGCTTGTTTTGTTTGGGCTTTGATCCTTGATTCTCCAGGTCTCAGCTTCCACAGTAGCTAAGATTTCAGGTGGGAGATACTTGTGGCTGGTTGATAGTAAGGTAGGAGTTTGTATGTTTATGTGTAGGCATGTGTATGCATTCAAGCACACGTTTCTGAGCATGCCAGTACAATGGTTTGAACTCAAGGACTGAATGCTGTCCTTTATCTCTTTTGCTCAAGGCTAGTGCTCCACTTAAGCCACAGTTCCACCTTGGGGCTTTGTGAGATTCTTAACTTCTATTAGCCAGACTTACAAGATGGGAGTCTGAGAAACTATTATTTTCTATTGTCTTTTATGTTGGGCTGGCTTCTAATCTTTGTCCTTAGATCTCAGACTCCTGAGTAGCTAGGATTACAAGTAAGAACCACCAGTATCTTCTGGATAGTTTTTAATGAAGCACAACATATTTCTGTCTATTCTAGGATACTGACCTTACTTAGTTTTGGGGTCATAAGAACCTCCCTCCCTCCCTCTCTCCCTCCCTCCTTCTCTCCCTCCCTCCCTTCCCCTCTCTCTCTTTCCCTCTCTTCCCCTCCCTCACCTTCCCTCCCTCCCTCCCTCCCTCCTTCCCTCCCTCCCTCTCTCCCTCCCTCCATTCCTTCCTTCTTCCCTCTTGCCTTCCCTTTTTCCCTTCCTCTCTTCCTCACTTCTTTCCTTCTTTCCTTCTTCCTTTCTCCCTTCCTTCTCAATCCTGGGGCTGGAAATCAGGGTCTGAGTACTGTCCCTGAGCTTCTTTTGCTAAGTCTAGCACTCTATCACTTGAGCCACAGTGCCACTTCCAGCTTTTTCTGTTTATGTGGTACTGAGGAATTGAACCCAGGACTTCATGCATGCTAGGCAAGCACTCTGCCATGAAGCCACCTTCCTAGCCTCTGAGATATTTCTGTAAGTAAGACAGTAATCGTGGTTTTTTTTTTTTTTTTTTTTTTTTGTGCTGGTGCTAGGCTTGAACTCAGGACCTGGGTGCTATCCCTGAACCGCTAGCTAGTGCTCTACCACTTGAGCCACAGCTGCACTTCCAACTTGGTGATTAATTGGAGATAAGAGTCTCCCAGACTTCTCTGCGTAGGCTGACTTCCAACCATGATGCTTAGATCTCAGCCTCCTGAGTAGCTAGGATTATAGGCTAATATTTAGCACTTTATAAAATGTATCTTTTGGGAGAAATATAACTTGGTCTTTGGAATATGTTTTCTTTATTTCCCTAATGGGTGAAAAATACCAGAGACTATGAATCAATACAGATATAATAATTAGATTGTTCTTACACTGCCTTATAGAAGGGCAGATCTTGCTAAACACTTCTAATAAAGCACATCTTCGTTAATAACAGCAGTGTGTACAGTCTGTGCTACCAATGGAGAGGGCTGTGTGTCTCTCCTGTGAACAATTTTTTTTTTCATAAGCTGGAAGGTAGTTTGTGCAGCCTGGAGTCACTGGGGCAGTGGAATTTCACTTCTTTACTCTCTGGTGGAGCGCTGGCCAGAACTCAGTTGCAGGAAACAGAAGCCATGAGTTATTTTAAGCCAGGGAATTTTTTTTTCCTGGGGATGAAGGTTTACAGAATCATTGGAAAGATGTGATCTTAGTTTGCCAGGGGGCTGTAATGAGTGCCTGGGAGTTTGTTTTCTCCTAGTTCAGGAGACAAGGAGTCATAGATCAAGTGTTCAATAGGTTTGATTTTTTTTTTTCCCATTGAGGCCTTTCTTCTAGGCTTGAGGGTGGCTGTCTTCTTCCTTCCTGTGTTTTCATGTGATTATCTTTTAGTCTTATGTGTGTCCCAGGGTTGCTCCTCTTTTTATAAGAACACAGTCTTCCCGGAGAGGTCTTACCCTTACAGCCTCATTTTAATCTAAATACCTCTTGAAAGATTGTAAACGCAGTCAGTCCCCTTCTAGATACTAGAGGCTATGATTTCAACATAGAGTTTTGGGGGTGGATAAAATAGAGTCCATAACTCCGGGGGAGTGGGATGTAGGCCTAACTTCCAGAATTGACTCAAAGACAGGCTGTAAAACTAATGGTGGAGAGTCACCCCTTTGTCACAGGAAGTTTCTGCTGTCATTATCCCATCCAGTTGAGTGTGTTCTGAGCTTTCATTTTATGATCTGGAAGCAGCAGCAACCACCATCACAGTTAGTCATCTTGAGCTCCAGTCATCCCATCCACCTTCTAGTTAGAGGAAGGATGCAGGGCAGAATGTAGAGCTCTACCCTTTGAGGCTTCCTTTCCTAGAAGCCTCTGTAAACGGCCTCTGTAAACAAAGGTTTTGTAGTATATCCAAGACAAAGCACTCAGCAATGGCTAAGTTTCTCTTCCAGAGCCTGTTCTTGCAGCCCTTCTCATTTTCCTGTGAATGGCAATCAGATTGATTATATTTTCTTGGCCAAGTGCTTTCTCCCTGGCGGAAAAATTAGTTTCTGAGGACTTATGTTGTAGTTGGTGATCAAAAAAGAGCAAAGGAGAGACCAGCAAAGGAGTTCTGAATATGCCTCTATGCTCTGTGTCTTTTGTTGGGGGTTGGTCACTACTCTCTTCTAGATCATAAATCTAACCTAATTCACTGTCTTCCCCTAGCCTCTGATGGGAATATCAATGCCACGGAGTCCTTAACAATGGCTACCATACTGAATGGAACTGAGAAGTTTGAAACTCCCACCAAACCAGGTATTGTCATTGATGGTTTATACCCTGGAACCAGTTATCATTTTGAAACATTTCTATAAGGATCCAATGGGACCGGAGGGCCATCCTGGGAAGTTACAAATAGAACTGGTAGGCAAGTGGGCTGTGCTTCCTGCCAAGTAGGGATGTTGCTTACAGGAGACCAGGGTGATTTATAGATGTCATTTTTTCTAAATTTTGTTTTTCATTTAAGTATCATGAAAATTTTAAATAGTTTATAATAGCAGAATACCAGCAAAAACAACACAGTCCACATGTAAGCTTTCAACTAGAAACATTCATGGGTAAAGTTGGGTGTATGTTATCTTTACAATTCTAAGATATATGTATAGATTGTTTTACACACCTTCAGGCCATTTTCCACATTTTGGGTCTTCTTTTTCCCCATTACTTGTTTATGATGATTAGTTTTCTCTGTAAACAGAAATATCTCTACAGCATTAATTTATGATCTGCCTTGCACTCAGTTGTCCAAATTATAATAGGCATATAATAATAATAATAATAATAATAATAATAATAATAATAATAATAATAATAATCCAATACTGGCCCACTACAGGGTTCACTACAGGGTTGTACTGAAACCACCGCTATGCTCATGTATTTGTGACCTGCCTCTGGCTGCATTCATGTTAGAATTAAGTAATAACAACAATTTCTTTCTTGTAAAGCCTAAAATACTTGTTCTCTAGCTTTTACAGAAAAAAATATTTTGACCTGTAGATTTGATTATTGGTTCTTAAAGTATGGTCTTAGACTCTGTATGGGGTCCCTTTTGAGGAAATCTCAAAAGCTCTCTGAGATGTTATTATAAGGAATGCTAAATTGTTATTTGGCCTTTTCATTCTCTCATGAGTGTATGGTGGTATTTTACAGACGTTACATGATATAGGATGATGACATTGTCACAGTAATGGTTAATGTTATTATCATATATAAAAATCAACTAGTTGGGTGTTAGTGGCTAATGCCTATAATCCTAGCTACTCAAATGGCTTGAGAGCTAGAAGATCATGGTTTAAAGCTAGCCTGTCCAGAAAAGTTTGTGAGACTCCACCTCCAAAATAACCCAAAATCTGGGTTTGAGACATAGCTCAAGTGGTAGAGTACCAGCCAAGTGAACTGGCCAAGTAAACACGAGGCGCTGAGTTTAGAACTGGCAAAAAAATTGTTATTTATAATAGAGTATAAACATAACCTATATAAACAAAATTACTCTGGGATCCTTAATGGTTATTAAGAAGACAAAAGTGTCGATTTTTTTCTTAAAGCTTTATGAACTTTGATCTAGAGCTTTTGTAAGTTAAGAGGTCCAATGATGGTGAGTACAATTACAAGTCTAGGAATAAACAGGACTAGAACTAAGACCCAGTTTTAAAAAATATTATTATTATCCCATGGTAGCACAGTATGTAACCTTTATTTTTGGTATGGTCTGTGTCAGGGGAACCTGAGCCTTGAGCAAATCTGAGGGGCTCATTTCAGATCATTCAACTACCTATGGGGCAGTTCTGCAAGTGTAGCTTTGGAAAGTAGACCTACAGAGCAGATGTTACTCTTGCATGTGTGTTTTAATCACAATCTTCTTTTTCTTCTTCTCCTTTTTTTTCCCCTGTGTTCCTTGAAAACCTCTACATAGCACCCAGTCCTGTGTTTGACATTAAAATTGTTTTCGTCAGTCCAACCAGTGTGGGCCTCACCTGGGAAAACAATGACACAGTTGCTTCAAACTACACTTGCAGAATAAAGAATGAGATGGATAAGCCATGGCCGCTCACTGCTAATGATCAGAACCGGTGTAACCTCACAGGCTTGCGTCCAGGGACTTCCTACACATTCTTCATTGTCCCGGAAAGATCCAGTCATAATTGGGGATATCCCAGCAAAACTGTTACAACAAGTAAGGTGACAGGCATACAGTATAATCACAAACCCTTTTCTGAACCTTTGGACCTTGTCTATTCAAACTGTCTGTTAGAAAGAGCTTTGTTTTCATACTGTAGAAGAGGAGAAAGGGTATTGTGCTATGTCAAGCCAGGAGTTCAGGTAGCCAGATCTGTCAGGATTAGGGTTCTGTGTGTTTTTGGAAGTCTTAACTTTGTCTCATCCATTTCGTTATAAACAAACAAAACCAAAAATTCTATTATTTTATTGGTTCAGACCTATTTTTCAGTAAGACCCTGGAGTGGAAGTGATCTCATTAGAAATAGGATTTGATGACCAGTCATTTCTCACCTTTTAAACTCCTTTGGACATTGATGTGGAATTTATAAATTCCCAGTAGTTTCTGTTGGGCAGGAAAGTTTGGTATACTTTATAGAAAATTTGGTGTTTCAAATGAAATGAAAGTGACATGACATTTAGATTTTAATTAAGGGTTAACAACTTTAGATTGAGGTTTAGCTTAGGCATCAGTACCTTTACAAGTTGTTACAGCTGTAAATTCAGCAGCTATTTTTTTTAAGATGAAAAGAATACAAAGAAATTTACAGCTGGATGCTTGCTCGTGCCTATAATCCTGGCTTCTTGGGAGACAGAATGGGAGGATCACAGGTCATAAGACCTCTTCCTAATCCACGGCTGGGCAGAGTGTCACATGTCTGTTATTACAGCTCTGTGGGAGGCTGAGAATTGGAGAGGATGGCAGTTTCAGGCCAGACTTCTCGGAAAAAGATCCTCAAGATTATCTCAGCAGAAGAAGCTGGGTATAGTGGCATTCATTCACCTGTCATCCTGACTACAGTAGGAAGTCTAAAATAGGTGTGCTATAGTCCTGGTATGTGCCTGGGAGGGAGATGGAACCCTATTGCAGAAATAACCAGGGCATGGGTTATATAACTAGAGGTATGGGTTCAGAGAAGTGATAGAATGCCTCATATGTTAGCAAACGTGAGGACTTCAGTTCAAACCACAGTACTTCCCCCCCCCCCCCCCCCCACACACACACACAAAGAGAAAAGCAATTTAAATGTAACCAATAGACGAGGATCTCTTTCTACGGTAAGAGAAAAAGCAGCCCTTCATTTTTGTGTGTGTGTGTGTGTGTATAAAAGAAAAGTAGGAGAAGGAAGGGGGAAAAGGAGAGGACAGTAGGGAGAGGGTTTGATAGGTAGGTAGGTTGGTAGGTAAGTAGATAGATAAGATAGATAGATTGATTGAAAAAACCTTGTTGTTTATATATAACATGAAGTGAGTCAGGTTCATATAACATCTCCTTTTGGCCATGGAATAGACAAGCACTAAATTAATGGCTTCTAGTGGCTTTTTTTCTAAAAGCATTTTCAAAGTTTAGCCAATTAATTATTTTATTTTATTTTATTATTTATTTATTTTATTATTTATTTATTTTTGGGTCCGGTTGTGGGGATTGAACTCTGGGCCTGGGCACTGTCCCTCAGCTCTTCAGCTCAAAGCTAGTGCTCTACCACTATGAGCCACAGCGCCACTTCTGGCTTTTTTTTTTTGCTTATGTGGTGCTGAGGAATCAAACCCAGGGCCTCATGCATGCAAGGCAAGTGCTCTACCACTGAGCCACCTTCCCAGTCCCTATTTTATTTTATTTTATTTTTGTGCCCATACTGGGGCTTGAACTCAAAGCCTGGGAGTTGTCCTTTGGCTTTCTACTCAAGGCTGGCTCTCTATCATTTGCGTCACAGCTCCATTTCTTGCTTTTTGGTGGTCAGCTGGAGATTAGAGTCTCATAAACTGTCTTACCCGGCAGGCTCCCAACCTTGATCCTCAGATGTCAGCTTCCTGAGTAGTTAGGGTGGATTACAGGGGATGAGCCACAGGGTACTTAGCTGTGCTGAGTGTTTTGATGACAGTTGACTTAAGATACTCCGTTTCACGAATGTCCATTTTGTGTTTTTCAAACAGAGCCTCTTCCAGTGTCGGACCTTTGTGTTGCCTTCATGGGTGTGACGCAGGTTGTTCTTACCTGGAGCAAGGACAATGGCACTGAATCTTACCGGATAGTTCTTCAGAGCACTAGCAACCATAGCAAGATGGTTGATGATTTAGCAGTCACCGTTTCAGACCTGAAGCCAGGGTTTCGACATGTGGTCCAGTTTCTTCCAAAATTACATAAGACACCAAGTGATACCACAGAAGGTGGCTTGGGTGAGTTACACAAGAGTAAGCTCTGGTGTTGACTTTCAATCACTTTTTAGTTTGAAAAAAAAAATATTGTTCTCATGTATGTATGGAGTTAGGCTTTTGATTTCAAGTGACAGATGGAAACTAGAATGGAAAGAGCAATTTGTGGTCCATGTATATTTTCCCCACTATAGGCAGCAAGGTATTAAAGGAACAAGATGCTTCTCATCCCTTCTTTTTGCATCATTATGTGTAGCAGCTTTGTTTTTCAGAGTGGCTCCTTCCATACAGGTCAAGGAGAAAAGGCCATTCATTAGGCCTTTCCATTTTCATACTTTTGGTTCAGCGAACGCATTCCTTGAATGGGCTCTGGGTAGCTGTCCATGGGAAATCATGCTGGGAGAATATAAGGAGAATGGTCCCAAGATCATAGTTGAGAGAGAATGCAAGGTCTCTGTGGCATTCCTGGGACAATAGTATGAAGTGATATATCCAGACAGAGATATTTATGAAGTGCCAACAGTGGGTACTGTTGGATGAATCATCATATGGATGGTGTGCTGGAAGATGGAGGTTGTGTCCCTTTTGTGGTTGATACCTTTGCTTTTGTGTTTAAACCAGATACCAACAACACAGAGAGAAGCCCAGAGGTGAGACTCCTACCACACAACAGCTCCGTGGCTCCTGGCAAGGAGTCCCGAGGCATAGAAGTTCAGCTCGTCGGGTTAGAGTCTGACACTCAGTATACAGCCACTGTTTATTCTCAAGCAGCGGATTGCACAGAAGGACGGCCCCAGAACATCTCTCCCAGTGTTTATTCTCAAGCAGCAAATTGCACAGAAGGACAGCCCCAGAACATCTCTTTCCTCACAAGTATGTGGAATTTTGTGAAACAGTTTTATCTTTGAGATTCCTTGCTTATAGTTTTGCTTTTGGATCTGAGTCATTTCTGTTGTCAGAGCGTTTTCGGGGTGAACTTTGGAGTAGAGCAGATGGTTGAATTTCTTCAAACCTCTGTGGTCACAAAGCTCACTAAGACGTTATTGAACAGTGTATATTCGGTAAAGATGCTGGGCACTGCCTTACGTCTTTCCTGTTTCTGCATATTAGCCATGGAGACATACTGCTTTAGAACGTTGTTATCTTCTGCAGCCATTGGGTGGAGCTTTTCCACACCTGGGATAAGAAAATGAATTTCTGTTTTTAACTTGCCCTTCGAATGCACACGGACCTTTCTGTTGAAACACTTATTGACATGCCAATTGCTGGTTCTGAGTTCTTCCTTGGCCCACTGTCAATTTGCTAGAAATATGCCCAGATTCCTCCCTCCCTCCCTCCCTCCCTCCCTCCCTCCCTCCCTCCCTCCCTCCCCCCTCCCTCCCTCCCTCCCTCCCTCTACCCTCCCTCCCTCCCTGCCTCCCTGCCTCCCTCCCTCCTTCCTTCCTTCCTTCCTTCCTTCCTTCCCTCCCTCCCTCCCTCCCTTCCTCTCTCTTTTTCTCTCTCTCTCTTTTTCTCTCGTTCTCTCTTTCCTTTCACCAGTCCTGGGGCTTGAATTCAGGTTCTGGGCACTGTCCCTAAGTTTCTTTTGCTTAAGGCTAGCACTTGAACCACAGTGCAACATCTGGGCTTTTCTGTTTATGTGGTACTGAAGAATCGAACGCAGAGCTTCATGCGTGCTACCCAAGCATTCTCTACCACTAAGTCTCATTCTCAGCCCTGTGTCCAGGGTTTTGGCTCTCAGAGAGTTTGTAACATAAGGGAGTTGAGACATACGGACATGGGAAACTGCATGCAGTTGGAGCCCTGCGCTCAGGATCCAACGCTGCATTGCATTACCACAAGCCCTTAAGGGCTTGGTGGCAGGGGGCATGAATGGACTTGGTTGTCTTACCCAATTTTAAAGGACTCATGGGCTCACAGAACTGAGGGAATGAAGGTTGAAATTGGAGTGGTAGAGATAGGAAACCAGCAGGTACCCAGGAGACTCTGGGGGATGTGGGTGGGTGGGTGGAGTGGGTGTGAGTAATCCTACATCCAGTGACACACTCAGGAAGTTCCTTTGAAGTTCCTGGAGGGACAGACTCACTGAGCAGGGACACCCGACTCTTTTGGGACTCTTGTACACTCTAGACATGGTTATATGGTGAAGATGGGGAGCAATTGCCAGGCTGATAAAACCCCTTTATAACTCGTGTGTGTGTGTGTGTGTGTGTGTGTGTGTGTGTGTGTGTGTGTGTGTGAGAGAGAGAGAGAGAGAGAGAGAGAGAGAGAGAGAGAGAGAGAGAGAGAGAATGTGTGAGATTGAGCTTTTGTGGTCAAGGCTAAGTGCTCTACCACTTGAGCCACAGCTCCATTTCTGTTTTGTGTGTATGTGTGTGCATTTAATTGGAGATAAGAGTCTCATGAACTTGCCTGTTGAGGCTGGCTTGAGATCTTTAGATCTCAACTGCTTGAGTAGCTAGAATTACAGGCGTGAGGCTCCGCAACAACTCATTATCTGGTGTGGTCATTTTTTTTTTTTTTTTTTACTTCTTTTTTGTTTTTACAGATTCTGCTCAGGTTTTTGACATCCAAGTTGTGGTCATCAATGCTACAAGCATGACCCTCACCTGGAAAGACAAATATAATGGGTCGTCTGCTGCCTATACGTACAAGGTCCATGTGGCTGGAGGCACTCATTTCCTCAACTTCACTGTCCCCGAGAAAAGTCTCGTCATCCTGGGACTCCACTCAAGCACCTTGTACAATGTCACGGTGTGTCCTTTCCTGGGAGACGTGGAGGGCGTGCCGGGCTTTCTCCAGGTGTACACGCGTGAGTTCCTTTGGTGCTCTGGCTAACCTTTCTTGTGGTCTATCATGTGCCAGGCCTAGATTTGAGGAGAGGATGCTTTGTTCCTTTCCTGAAGGAATGTACAGAACTGTACAGGGGCCCACAGGGACTCCTACAATAGTGACCACAGCCAACACTGAGCACCTTGTAATGTGCTCTCTTTCCGCTGGAGCACTGAATGCTCGCAACGGCCCTGTCACACGGCTAATCTGATTTTATGGATGAGGAAGCCAAGGCTGAGAGAGGTAATGTAGTGTCACATCACCTCTCTGCTAAGTGACAGATATGACATTAGGCCCGTAGGAGACTTAATGATGCATTGAAGATAAAGTAGCCAGGAGCCATAAGTTTCTATTCTAGAACTTGAGCCCTTAGCCGTGAGCAAGGGGAGTCTTTGCCTCTGCTCATCTATGAATGACTTTGTACAGTTAAATGCACAGTGTCTGTATTCTGGTGGCCAGGTGTTCTCTCCATGGGACAAACACCAGCTTGTGTTGCAGTTGATGATACAAATTTTTTAAAAAGGGGTCCTAAATGTGCTTTTTTAACTCTCAGTGTTACTATTTTTTGAAGGTTAGTTATGCCTATGTTTTAGGTATCTCTCTTTTTTTCTGTCTATCTGTCATATCTCCCTCCCTTCCCTCGCTTCCTCTCTCCCTCCTCTCTCCTTCCTCTCTCCCTCCCTTCTTCCCTTCTTCTGTCTGGTCTTGCTATGTAGTCCAAGCTGGCCACAGTGTGAATCATGACACTTAGCCCAGAACTAGAGGTTTTTTTTTTTTTTTTTTTCAATTTATTGTTATTATACAGGTGAAGTACAGAGGGATTACCATTACATGATTCAGGTAATGAGTACATTTCCTTTTGTTCAGTGTCTTCCCTTCCTTCACAGAGACAAGACATTTTTAATCTCATCATGCACTATCTTACTATCTTTTCCCTCAGCTCCTGGTCCTGTCTCCCACTTTCAAGTGACACTTGTCCGCTTAAGGGAAATTGGCTTAGCTTGGAACAGCAGTGACTCAGATTTCTTTAGGATTGTTACCACGCAGGAAGAAACTGGAAACCATCAAGATAATGTGACGACCATCAACCAAACAATTATCATCGATAACTTAAAGCCTGGAACCAGTTATCGTTTTGAAATATTTCCACAAGGACCCAATGGGACTGAAGGGCCATCTCAACAAGTTACAAGTAGAACTGGTAAGCAAGTGGGCTGTGCTTCTGTTAAATAGGGATGTTGCTTAAAGGAGAGAGGAGTGATTTATAGATGTCACGTGTTTCAAGTATTGCCCTCATAGTAAGGAAAAAAACCCCTTAAGAATATTTCATAACTTTATATGATGATACAAAGTGTACTGATGAACAACAATAAAATTCCCCTAAGGTAAATCATCAACCAGAGTTAATTACTGATAAAATATGTACATACATATTTTTTTTCTATAGAGTAATTTAAAAAATGTTTTTTTTCCAAATAGTTATATAAAGGGGTTTCGATTTAGCATACTGACTTATGTTTACAGTGTATCTTGATTAGAGTCTTTCATTCCTCACTTGTCCCCAAACTATCCTCCAACCATCCCACCTTTACCGCTTTCTGCGAGTTTCCTAGTTTCATTTTCACGCAGGTACATTGGAATATTATGGTTGTATTCACCAATCATGTTCCTCTTTACTCACTTGTTTGCTCTCTTCCAATTAGTCCTCACTCCTCTCAGATAAAGCATCTTTTAGTTTCCTGCCATTCATTTTGTTAAACTGTTAATTGTTCAGAGGGGTTATACTGTGGCAATCTCACTCCTACCCATACCACCCTGTGATCCATTTGATTGTGTATATGCATGTGCATGGACCTCCATGTGTTTTCAGATATGTCCATATTTCAGGTCTAACTCCCTCATGTGAGAGAAAATATGTGCTCTTTGACTCTCTGAGGATGGCTTTCTTGACACCCTAAGATTTTTCCAGGTTCATTCAGTTCCCTGAAAATGATAGAACTTACAGGGTAATTTTAACACGTGTCTTGTATTCCATTGTCTGCCTGTCAGATACAGATGACCCTCCATAGAGCTCATCTAGGGTTTTTTTTTTTTTGGTGCCAGTCCTGGGGCTTGAACTCAGGGCCTGGGCACTGACCTTTTTGTGCTCAAGGCTAGCATTCTGCCACTTGAGCCACAGTTCCACTTAGAAGAGTGGCTTTGAACCATGATCCTCAGATCTCAGTCTCTTAAGTAGCTAGAGGCATGAGCCAGAAGTACCCAGTGTGGGCTTTAAAAACTGATACTGGGATTTGAACTCAGGGATTGGATTTGCCCTGGCTATACAGGAACTCTACTGTTGAAGCACATCAGCCCTTTTTTGCACTGGTTATTAGGATCTCACCTTTTGCCCTGGTACACATCTGGACCATGATCTTCCTATTTTTAAATTTCTCATAGTAGCTGAGATGGAATCCGGCAGGTAATGTACATCATAGCTAGCTTCTTCCATTTAGATGAAATCTTGGACTTTTCTATCCTGGATAGTCTTTTCTTTTCTTTTCTTTTTTTTTGGGTCTGGTCGTGGGGCCTGAACTCTGGGCCTGGGCACTGTCCCTCAGCTCTTCAGCTCAAGGCTAGTGCTCTACCACTTGAACCACAGTGCCACTTCCGGCTTTTTTTCTTTTTGGTTATGTGGTGCTGAGGAATCAAACCGAGGGCCTCACGCATACAAGGCAAGCGCTCTACCTCTGAGCCACCTTCCCAGGCCATATCCTGGATAGTCTTGAATCATGATCCTCTCGATCACAGCATCCTCAGAAGTTAGGATTATGGGTATGAGCCATGGTGCCTGGCTCTCACAGTTATTTCAGTATGACTGATGATATATCGGGACTGAATGAGGGCTTTTCCACATCAACTGAGCTCTGATGCACATGTTGGAATTAAGAATGTTTGTTTTTGAAACTTGTTCAGATTTTAAAAATTGATTATTATTAATATGAATATTATTAATCAGTGCATGGTGAGAACTGTGTGTAGTCAATCCACAAATGAGGTTAGGTTTCACACTTTACCCTTTGTAGACTCATTGGAGAGATGAGTAACGAAATAAACCATTTATTTTGACAGACACTTTGAAATGAAGCTGAGTATCACTGTGGTCATGAACAATTTTTTTACCCCTTCTTTCCTTCTGAGCAGACTCCAGTGCCGTGTGTGACATCCGTGTGGTTAGTGTCACCACCACCGAAATGCAACTGGAATGGCAGAACAGAGACAATGTTTCTGGATACATCTACCATTTAGTTATACAGTCTCAGTATGGCTCCAACAAAACCAACAGTTCTGAGAAGAACATCATTCTGGAGGACCTCATTCCTGGGACATTGTACAATGTCACAATCACCCCGGAAATAGATCAAGTCCAGGGGGATTCGGGCTCCATCGCACACTACACACGTAAGTCTCTGGGCCTTTTGCTTGGAGGGAGCTTGCTAAAGGATGGGGAAGGCCCGTTATATCTCTGGGTTTCCATTTGATATTTAGCTGCTTCACATGGACATAGCTGCCTAGCCAAAGGCTCACCTGTTCCCTTGGTCCATTGTGGTTAAAGCCATGTGAACATGGAATTGTTTTGAGAGGCAGAAAGTGACTGACTTATCCCATGAAAGCAGAGGACATTGGCGATCTACTCATCCCTTGGGAACACAGATTAGAGTGACCAGATCTTTTTTTTTTTTTTTAATTGTGAAAATACTGTACTGAGGGGTTACAATTACATGGGCAAGATAATGAGTACATTTCTTATCAAGCATTGTAGCCTCCTCCTTTGTTTCCCTTTCCCATCCCCCCTTCCCCCCACCCAATTAGAGTGACCAGATCTTGTGGCACTGGAAGATCCAGCTCTGATGAGCTTTGCTTGGGGCTTGAACTCTGGGCCTGGGTGTTGTCCCTGAGCTTCTTTTGCTCAAGGCTAGCATTCTATCACCTGAGCCACAGTTCTGGCTTTTTCTGAGTAGGTTATTGGAGATAAGAGTCTCATGGACTTTCTTGCCGGAGCTGGCGTTGAACCTCAGATCTCGGCCTCCTGAGAAGCTAGGATTACCTGTGTGAGCCACTGCCTCCAGCCCTGTAATACTCTTATTTCCAATTAATCACCAAAAAGCCTGAAATGGAGTTGTGATGCAAGTGTTAGAGCACTGTCCTTGAGCAAAAATGCTCAGGGACTGTGCCTAGGCTGTGAGGTCAAGTCTCAGTACCAGCACAAAACAAACAAAACAAAAAGAGTCACAGACTTTCCTGCCTGGGCTGGCTTCAGACCTCCATCCTCAGATCTCAGCTTCCTGAGTAGCCAAGATCATAGGTGTGAGCCATCAGTGCTTGGCTAATTTTTTCTTTTTAAACCCAGGGCCCAGCAACGTGTCCTACATTGTAGTGGAGCCCAATACCACAGCAGCAGCCTTCCACTGGGATAACACAGACGCAGCCTCAGCAACATACTCCTACCGCCTTGTTATCACACAGGCTGAAAACAGCAGCATAACCAAAGTGATCAAAGACATGGGAGTCACTTCTGTGGTAGTCACGGAGTTAACACCTGGCTCGTCCTACACAGTGGAGATCTTTGCACAAGTGGGGGATGGTCTTGAGTCAGGGCCTGGCTTGGAGTTGTTCTGTACAGGTGAGTGGTCTCTGGTCCTTGGCCTCCTTCCTGTCTGGTGGCCACTTGCAGGTACTTCTTCCCAGCCTGTGGGGCAAAGGCCCTGAGGTTGGAGACCCTGTGTGTTGGAAGAAGAATAGGAAGTTAAGTATTAGGAGTGGATCCATGGGAGCAGGACATGAAGCTGGAGAAGTAGGGGGCCAGGGTATGAAAGATGTCTGGCCATGTAGTTCCTGACTTTTCCCTTTATATGGACAGGCAATGACAAGAACACTCAGCCTTTTTGCCCCTCCTGACAAGTACCTGTCTCATAATTCAGAAAGTTGTGATGAAGAGCAGAGCCCAGATGAGCGCTGTGTTCTGGGGGACCCCTGGGGAGGCTCTGTAGATTCAGGAGAGTCTTTGGCTCCCAGCTCAGAGGTTCCTTTGTAGCCTCTGTACCCTGGACTACCTCATTCTGTCCCCTTCTCTAGAGTGCCCCACTCAGGTGAGGTCAGGCTGATTGGAAGTGGGGGGGTCTGAGTACCTTCAGTCTCCCTGATGGTACTTGAGCTGGGCCCTTGCCCTCTGACCATTCACAGGGGTGATTAAAAAATCCCTGTGGGGGCTGGGAAGGTGGCTCAGTGGTAGAGTGCTTGCCTTGCATGCCTGAGGCCCTGGGTTCGATTCCTCAGCACCACATAAGCAAAAAGAAAAAAGCCAGAAGTGGCACTGTGGCTCAAGTGGTAGACCCCTAGCCTTGAGCTGAAGAGCTGAGGGACAGTGCCCAGGCCCAGAGTTCAGGCCCCACGACCGGAACCCCCCCCCCCCAAAAAAAAAATCCCTGTGGTCTTGAATCACCCTGTCTACACTCAGGCTCCATCTTACTTGATCTTCATTTTGTTTGTTTTGCTGTTTTTGCAGTGCTAGGGTTTGAACTCAGGGACTTGTACTTGCTAGACAGGTGCTCTGCCATTTGAACCATGTCCCCAGCTAGGAGCTGGTCTTTGTGTTTGGGTCTTTGCTATTGCTGACACCTATCCTAGCTTTAATAATTGCAACCTGCAGTGGAATGAAAAATTCATAGAATCCAGGTCTCAGGGAAGAGACCTGGGGACTGCAGCAGTGACTTGTGAATGCTTTGCTTGTGCTAGAATCCTGCAGAACTGTAGATATTCTCCCCTGTGATTAACTCAGCTCCCCATTGAGGTTGGCGCTTAGTAACATTTGTGATCCTCATCTTAATGATAAGGACACTGCCTCCAGTGACAGTAGAGTAGTCAACACATTGTGTCTGTAAATGTAGATTTAGAAAAACCTGCGTTCTGGTTCTGACCTTGTCCTCTTCAGCCATTATCTTCTGCAAACTACTTAAACCCTCACTGAGCCTCAGTTGATGTATGTGTGAAATAGGACCGTATGAGCCTTGCCTGGCCCCCCAAAAAGGATTGCCATGAGAGCCCTAAATGGAGTGATGTGTCTTGTGGAGCCCAGATTCTGTCTCGCCTGGACATCTTGTTTGATAACTGATGCCTGGTGTTTTCATTTAACCCTCCAGCAGGCCTGCTGCGCCTTGAGCTTTCAAATGACTGTTCCAATCCATTCAGAGTCTGCAGGAACCTCTTCTTTGTATCTGGGCTAGGGTCCTGCATCCCATGCGACTGACCCTGTACCGCGCTTGTCTTTCAGATCCTGCTCCAGTGACCTCCTTCCACTGTGAGGTGGTCCCCAAAGAGCCAGCCTTGGTTCTGAGGTGGGCCTGCCCTCCGGGCACCAATGCAGGCTTCGGGGTGGGGGTCAGCAGCGCGGTCTGGGAGAATACCACCCTCGTGGAGAGCTGTGCCTCCGAGAACGGCACCGAGTGCAGCACAAAAGTCACGTATTTGAATTTTTCTACCTCCTACAACATCAGCATCTCCACCTTGTCCTGTGAGAAGATGGCTCCGCCCGCCCAAGGCACCTGCACCACCAGCATCACAGGTGGGCCTCGGGGTGGGGTGGGGGAGCAGGTCTGCAAGCGTGGCCAGAAATCCTTTTTTTTTTTTTTTTTGGCTTATTTGCCATAGAGCCTTTGTTGGCAGACAAGTATCCCATTCTGTAGAAATCCTGTGTGCAAAACCAGAGTCAGAGGGACTTGTTTTTGTACATTCTTAGAAGTTGGTTGTTTACAGAATAGCTCATCACCATATCTTTATGTAGAGAGTACCTCACTGCATGATAAAAAGCACTTTTTATTTTTTTTGGGTCCGGTCATGGGGCCTGAACTCTGGGCCTGGGCACTGTCCTCAGCTCTTCAGCTTAAGGCTAGGGCTCTACCACTTGAGCCACAGCACCACTTCTGGCTTTTTTCTTTTTGCTTATGTAGTGCTGAGGAATCGAACCTAGGATCTCATGCATGCAAGGCAAGCGCTTTACCACTGAGCCACCTTCCCAGCCCAATATGTATATTTTTAATAGTATTAATTTTGTCCTAATCCTTGAACATGGAATATCTTTCCATTTATTTGCATCTTTTATGACCATTTGGTTTTTAGCACACAAGTCTTTCACCTTCTTGTTTTATTTTAATTATGCCTCCATAGATGTGTTAAAAGAAATGAAAGCATGTATTGGTAGAAATGACAATAATGAAACCATACCAGGCAATTAGCAGTCTGTACTCTGTGGGATATGGCAAGACATACTGAAAGGGTTGTTGTGATCCAGGCTTTCCCCATAGCCACGGTCTCTCTATGTCCCTGATTTTCGTCCCTGCTTCTTTTTTTTGGGGGGGTCTGGTTGCAGGACTTGAACTCTGGGCCTGGGTGCTGTCCCTCTTCAGCTCAAGGCTGGCGCTCTACCACTTGAGCCACAGCGCCACTTCCGGCTTTTTTTCTTTTTTGCTTATATGGTGCTAAGGAATCGAACCCAGGGCCTCATGCATGCAAGGCAAGCGCTCTACCACTGAGCCACCTTCCCAGCCCCTCATCCCTGCTTCTTGCTTGCTGACTTTGCTTTGCATGAGCTCAGTATACTAAGGTTTCAGGGCAGATTCTGAGGAGGGCATGTAAGCACAGACTCTTCCTTAATGCTTTTGTTCCTTGTTTGATCTTAAGTGTTGGTTTTGTTTCAGATCCCCCTCCTCCAGATGGATCCCCCAATATTACTTCCATCAGCCACAATTCAGTAAAAGTCAAGTTTAGTGGGTTTGAAGCCAGCCATGGACCCATCAAAGCCTATGCTGTCATTCTCACCACTGGGGAAGGTAAGGACTGGCTGCAGCCTGTGCTTTGGCTTTCAGAGGGGGAGGGTTAGGCCCATCCTGATAAAAGTTCAAGGGTCGTGAAAGTTTCTCTGAAGCTCTCAGGAGCAGGTGCCTCTCTGGCAGCTATTTAGTTCTACCATTGTGGAATGAAAACAATTATAGAAGATACATAAAGAATGGGTATGCTTCTTCCTGCAAATTGTTACTTGCCAAAACAGGTGGTGGCTAGATTTGGCCCTTAGACTATAACTTGGCCTACCTTGGATCTAGATTTCTTTTCTCTTTACCAACTTTGTCTACCCTTTCCTTCAATTCATCCTTAAGAGGCCAACTTTCTCTTAATAAAGAAACATTTGTGTTTGTTGGTGGGGCCTTGGCAAAGAGCATGCTGCTGCTCAGAGAGGAGGATGAGTTAAGGCCTTTCCCCCCCCACATCCCCCCTTAAATGCTGCTGTTCACTCCTTGGTAGTAATGAAGGGAATGACTTGAGTACCTGGCATAGGCCAAGTTTTGTTATTTTCTGTGGTTCTTTTAGCTAAATGTGAGCAAGATAGGACTTCCTCTGTCACAGCATACTAGAAGAAGCTATGAACCAAACTTACTTTCAGGGATATGGGGACCCAGAGGATAGAAATGTGTTGGTATCATAACTTGTTCCAGAATCTCCAACATGATTGACTGCCAGGCACCTGCTGCTCAGGCCTGTAATTCTAGCCACTTGGAGCCTGAGAACTGATGACTGTGCTTTGAAGCCTGCCTGGGCAGGAAAGTCTGTGGGACTCTTTATCTCTAACTAAGCAAAAGCCAGAAGTAGAGCTGTGGCTCAAGTGGTAGAACAATTAGTTGAGCACAGAAGCTCAGGGACAGTGCCCAGGCCCTGAGTTCAAGCCCCAGGACTACTCCCCCCGCCCCTGCTCCCCACTTCCCAAAAAAGATTAGTGACCTCTGTGTCTCTCTCTCTCCTCTCTCTGTCTGTCCCTGTTTCTTTTTGCTTTGGTCTATTCCAAGTTGTCTTTTTTTTTGGGTTATTGTTGGTTTTCAACGAATCGCAAACTTGAATGATCTGAATGATTTGGTGATGTTGCATGCAGCCAGGCTGACCACTTCTGGCCTGTGATGAGCAAGACCGCAGGCGTGAGCCAGATGTTTTCGTTAGGAATCCAGCCGTACCATGTGGGCAATGTGACCTTGAACCAGGTCTTGTTTGTTTTAGAATGGGGGTGATAATCCTGGGGGCTGAGATTTGTGGTGATGAAATGAGATACTGTAAGAAGTGCTCAGAATTTGATGTAAGCAAAGCCTGGCTCTTCAGAGGTACATAGGAGATGGAAGCTAGTGACATGGTCCCCTGGCGCTGGTGTCAGTATTTATATGTGGGAGACAGACATCCTCCCCTGCCTGCACTTACCCCCTGTCTTCTGTGTGCCTTTCTTAGCGGGCCATCCTTCTGCAGATGTTTTGAAATACACATATGAGGATTTCAAAAAGGGGGCCTCTGATACTTATGTGACATACCTTATAAGAATGGAGGAAAGAGGACGCTCTCAGGGCTTGTCTCAAGTCTTGAAATATGAAATCGATGTGGGGAATGAGTCCACCACCCTCGGCTACTATAATGGGAAGCTGGAACCTCTGGGATCCTATCGGTAAGTCTTCATTTCTAAAGGTTTGGGGCCGAGTCTGGTGCCAAAACAAACAAACAACCTCTAGGTGCCTGTGGCACTAGACAATATCTTCACAGACTGATTTTGCTCTTTGTCACCTGACCACAGGGCTTGTGTGGCTGGCTTCACCAATATTACTTATCACCATCAAAATGATGGACTCATCAATGGCGCTGAGAGCTATGTGTCCTTCAGTCGCTACTCAGAGGCCGTTTTCCTGCCTCAGGATCCAGGTAGAGCAGAAACAATAGCCCTGCTACCAATCCATACCACCTGTGTACCTCCGTGGCCCCAAGGGGGTTAGAGTTCCTGGCTTTCTCCTCTCACCACCTGAGATGACCCTTGGCCCTTGAGCTCAGCTCAACTTCTACCTTTAAGGTCTCCTGTCTCCAGAGTCCCTTCTCTAATGGCTAGACACACTTCTAATTTTCAGACTGTTCACTCTTTGAATTGTACTACAGCTGTGGTCAGCCCATGTGCCAGGTACACAGGGCGACTGTGTCTGCATCAGAAGGAGCTAAGGAATAGCCTTGTCCAGCCCCCCTTGTAGCCACTGCTAAGGCCCAGAGAGGGGAAGTAGAAGTAGCTTGCTCAGGGTTACACAGTGGCTTAGAGGCAGGTCTGGAACCCTGGCATTGGCTTCCTTGTGACATGTGCCTCCAAGGATTATGGAGTTGACTTAGGACCTGAGACTTGGACAGGAAGAGTAGCTTTCTGATGTTCAGCTAGTGGTGGACTGGGGACAAAGAACCCAGCCCTTGAATGTCTAGGTGTAAGCCTGAAGAGAGATATTTAACTCTCCTGTATTTGTGGGGAGAGGGCCCCAGGCTGCTTGCTGGCATAGTATGTGGTCCTGCACGAACACCTCAGAATGCTTCCCCTTGGACTCTCCCTAGGCGTTATCTGTGGAGCCGTGTTTGGATGCATCTTCGGTGCCCTGGTCATCGTGGCAGTGGGAGGATTCATCTTCTGGAGGAAAAAAAGGTGATGCTGCAAATGTTAATTCTAAGACACTTTTTTTTTTAAAAGAAAAATTTTTATTGTGGGGAATTTCATACATTTCCAAAACTGGATGGAATAAAGAACTCCCACGCTTTTATCATCTGGAGTGGTTACTATCTTGCAATCCTGAAGCCAGTGCTAGCTGCCTCCGGGCCTACACTGTAGGATGCTTCGTCCAAATACAAGTCAGTGTTAACACTCATGTTAAGGAGAGCTCTAGCATGCGGCGTTGGCCTCACTGGACACGTGCTCCATTTCCCACTAGCCATTGCTAAGCTTAGCTTTTTAATGTCCTCATTGGAGGTATGGGGTTGTAGCTTTCTCCATCTGGGGAAACTGAGGAGCGCTTCACACTCTGCCCTTTAAAAATTAATTAACTAACAGTTAATTATTAGCAGTCCTTTCTCTGTACAGTCAACCCCTGAGGTGAATCCACTTTGACAATAGCCTCGTTTTGGGTGCTTCTGCCTGTCAGCCTGCGGGTGACTGCAATACACGAGTGCAGACTGCCACCAGGTGGCAGCACTGAGTCCATGTGGTTTCAAGTATTGGGTTAACATGTTGGAAAGGCTTCCCCAAAACAAGAGCATGAAATAACTAGTTTTGCTATGATAATTCTGCCAAGAAGTTGCTTGAGTAAGATTTTCCCATATAAAAAATAAAGGAAAATAAATGTACAGATTTGTAATTGTAATTTTGTAATTGTAATTTTCTGCTTTGGACCATTAAGCCTAAATGGGATTTAGTGTCTGAACTGAACCACCACTGCCCAGTGAGAGAAGGCATTTGGTAGAGTTGTAAAAAGTATCTAGTAAGCAGGGTACTGTTGGCTCACGCCTGTAATCCTAGCTATTTAGGAGTCTGAGATCTGACAGCTGTGGAATAAAAGCCAGTCCAGGCAGGAAATTCTGTGAGACTCATCTTCAGTTAACCACCCAAAAATTTGGAAGTGGAGCTATGACTCAAGTGGTATCTTTGAACAAAAAGCTCAGGGATACCGCCCAGGTTCTTGAGTTCAAGCTCTACAACTGGTACATACACACAAAAAGTAGTGTCTAATGGGTATTTTTTCTCTTTCAAAACAGGAAAGACGCAAAGAATAATGATGTATCCTTTTCTCAAATTAAGTAAGTCTTTAAAAGTTCTGAGCTTTATTTTTAAGACATCAAGTCCTCCAATCTGTTCAGTGACTATCTATAGAATTTTTGATGGAACTTGATGTCAGTTTTCTTGATTGACGCACTTGGATATGAGTTCTTTTCTACAAGGAATCATTGGCGCCAAAGCAAGTGATTTCCTAGCCATTGCCTGAAATTTCACCAATAAATATGTATTTTGTGATTAAAAAAAGTGGGTTATCAGAATCTAGGGATGAGAAGAATTTATTTAAAGACACAGATAGGATTAGTTATGCAACAGAATTAGTTTCTCTGTTTAGATTTCAGTGTCGTATAAATAATATTCTAATCTCTGTCCCACCTCCTGTAAACTATATTTGGTTTTTGTTATTTTGAAAAAATGCTTACTTACCAAATGAACAAATAATTCTAATTGCTTTTTTTCCCCTTCTTTTCCTTTTGGTGATGAAGACCTAAAAAGTGAGTAACTTCCTTCTTTTTTTTAAAGTTATATTTGCCTGTTCTTTAGTAAGAAAAGACATTCTAGTAAGTTGTTTTGTTTCCTTAGATCCAAGTTAATCAGGGTGGAGAATTTTGAGGCCTACTTCAAGAAACAGCAAGCTGACTCCAACTGTGGGTTCGCTGAGGAGTATGAAGTATGTATTTGTGATACTTTGCTTCCCATTTGTTCTGAATGCTGGCAAACGGTCTGTTTTTGTCTCTTAGAGTGAAGCTGTAGGGTAAGAAGTGACCGTTTCAGAGGGAGAGTAGTAGCTTGTGTCTGGGCCCTGGGAACCCCAATGGTTAGCTATGAAGCTCTGCTCAACCCTTCCTTCTAGTGGATTTTATCTGTAACATATTGATACCTGAAGATTTTCCACAGAGGATTGGGAACTGTGCTTTCAAGTTGGGGGACTGCTCACGAGGATAATTAGAAAACTGAGATAGAACGAGACCCGATGGGACAGTCAGAGGTCTGGGGTAAGGCAGCTGTGTGTGGGGGGGGTTAGGGGAGCCCTGCAGGAATTTTTCTTTCTCTTTTTTTAAAAAAAGGTGACATACAGCGGGGTCACAATGATGTAAGTCAGGTAATGAGTGCTTTTCTTTTCGAACAGTGTCTCCCTCTCCCTCCTTTTCTCCTTCCCACCTCCCTCCCTGTAAGTTGTACAGTTCATTTTAACATAGCAAAAGGAGTTTCCTGACCAGTTTCTCGGTACCCCCTTTTTTCCCCCAAACTAGCCCAGGAGCACCCCCGCTCATAATATCCATGGGTATCTGTGTGCTGCCCCTGTCTCCCACCCCTGAGATCCTGCTCTCCGCTGTGAGCACAGTGCCGACACCACCTCCTCCGTGTTCCTATCCCCATATTCCCTCAGCATGACCTGCTCTGTCTTTTGAAGTGTCTCTGCTCAGACTGTCTCGTTTCACCTGAGACATGTGGCTTGCTCCACTATTTGGCATTTGTTTAATTCCTCCTTGTCACATTGGGGCCTCCCTCCTTGTCTTTCCCCCTCCTCCCTTCTAGGCTGTAAACCCTGGAAGGCAAGGCCTATCCTTTTTTTCTCCATTCTTTGTGCTGGTCCTGGGGCTTGAACTCAGGGCCTGGGTGTTGTCTGTAAGCTTCTTTGCTTGTGGCTAGTGTTCTGCTTCTTCTTCTTCTGCTTCTGTTCATCTTCTTCTTCCCTTTTCTCCTCCCCCCCCTCCTTCCTCCTCTTCCTCCTCTTCTCCTTCTTTCTTCCTCCTCTTTCAACTCCTCTCCCTCTTCCTCCTTTCCCCCTCCCCGTCAGGCTGGTTTTGAACTATAATCCTCAGGTGACCTACCAGCTCCTGGTCCTTTCCTTTTATTTTAACCTCTGTATCAGTTTCCTAGGGCCACCATCCCAAAGTACTGTATGTAAGTGTGTAAGCTGGACTTGAAACAGTAGAAATGTCCTGCCTTGCGTGTTGTCTTAGAGGCTAGAAGTCCCAGTCAAGGTGTTGGTAATCCTGCCTCTCCCATGGCCTCTAGTGCCGGGTTTCTGTTCCAGCTTCTGGAAGCCCCAGTCCTTTCTTGGTTTTGTGGCAGCATCACTCTGGTCTTTGCCACACGTGTGTGACACAAGTGTGTCCTGGTCTCTTTGTTCCATTTACTCTTCTAAGGGCCCTATGCATATTAAGTTAAAGGCCCACCCTACCCCAGCATGACCTCATTCGAACTTAATGGCCTCTGCAGAGACTGAATTTCCTGAAGGGTCAAACTCTTAGATCCTGGGGCTTAGAGGTCAGCCTGTATTTCAGGGGAGAAGAGCAGATCCATCTGCATTTCTACTTTATCCATCACAGTCTATACTCAATGTAAAGCCTGTGTGAAGATGAAAGAAACAACTCATGTATTTTGTTTGTAGGACCTGAAGCTGGTTGGGATCAGTCTACCTAAATATGCAGCAGAACTGGCTGAGAATAGAGGAAAGAACCGCTATAATAACGTCCTGCCCTGTAAGTGACTTTGTCCATACCACCTGTGCTTTGTTCTGTCACCTGCTGTCACATCTCTGGGGCGGGGCTTCTTCATACCCAGAAATTGAATCCACAGCCACTCTGCCTTCTCCTGTTATTGCTGAGCTCCGGGCTTAGGGGCATTGCGCTGCATGTAATCCTCCCAGCAACCTCAGCAAGCAGGCCATAGACTTGCAGAATGTCTGTTCTGCAGATGAGAAAAAAGGCACAGAATGATGGGTGGCTTGTTCAAGGTCACACAGGTTAATAATGGCCAAACCAGGTTTTGGGTCTGGTGCATGTATCTGATTCAGAGAAAAGGCTAATGTCTGAATGCTCTCCCCGACCCCCTGCCCCTCTATTTTAGTTTGTATAGTTTGATGAAAATGAATAGAAGGGGAACAGGTTGGAAGGCTACTTTTTCTGTGCAGACACGTTTTTTGATGGAGTGCGTTCTATAGATAAATATGAGTTATTCTTGGATACTTTCTATTTTTGAGAATTCCCAGTGTCTGTCACCCAACCTACGGAGATGACAGCAAACAGTTTAAAGGGAGAATCTAGTATTACATCCCCCATTACAGGACATGTGAGCTCTCTTCCGTGACAAAGCCCGTTGTGGTCTCATTTCTGGGGTGGAAGTAGGGTACTGTGAGGGGTGTCATTGTTCATAAATAGCCATGTGCTGATTTGGTAGAACTTGGAAGGCTTTGTGATTGATTTTTACACTAAGCCACCACCGCTGCTGCCTCCTCCTTCTCCTCTTCCTCCTCTTCCTCCTCCTCCTCTTCCTCCTCCTCCTCCTCCTCCTCCTCCTCTTCCTTCTTCTTTTCTTCCTTCTTCTGTGCTTTCTGCTTCTGTGTTTCTAAGATTTCCCCTTCTAATGAGGACCTTTGTTCTTTTGATATCACAGATGACATTTCTCGAGTCAAGCTTTCAGTCCAGACCCATTCAACCGATGACTACATCAATGCCAACTACATGCCGGTGAGTGGGCGCTGGCCTGCGGCAGGTACCCATGGGTGGGGTGCAGCTGTTTGGGGGGCTGTCTCCTGATGTTCATGTGTCCACTGTGTTTTGTTTTCAGGGCTACCATTCCAAGAAAGATTTTATTGCCACGCAAGGACCTTTGCCCAACACTTTGAAAGATTTTTGGCGAATGGTTTGGGAGAAAAATGTATATGCCATTGTTATGTTGACCAAATGTGTTGAACAAGGGAGGGTAAGTACCTTTCAAAATATAAATTTAATTAATTAGTTTTTTAAATTGTGGTTTGAAGGAGTATCTTAATACCTGTCTTATTTGTTTACTTATTTTTATACTGGTTATTGGGCTTGAACTCAGGGTCTGGGTGCTGTCCCTTAGCTTTTTGCTCAAGGGTGGTGCTCTACGACTTGAGTCATGGCTCCACTTCCAGCTTTTTGGTGGTTAATTGGACTCTTAGATTTTCCTGCTGGTAGTGTTCCTCACATCTCATCTTCCTGAATAGTTAAGGATCACACGTGTGAGCCACTGGTGCCCTGCTATTTATTTTTTGAGCTTAGAGTATTATTATGTAGTTGAGGCTGACCTAGAATTTGTGACTTTCCTACCTCAGTCTCCTGAGTGTTCATCTATTTGCCTTTTTTAAAATTTTTGATGGTCCTGGAGTTTGAACTCAAACTTGCACTTCTTAAACAGGTCCTGTACCATTTGAGCCAGGCCTCCAGCTCTTCCTTTTGCTGGTTTGGAGATAGAGTCACCAAACTATGAGCTGGCCTCAAACTATAATCCTCTGGATCTTAACCTCCTGAACAGCTAGGATTATAGGTGATGGTCTCTATTTGCCATTTTAGAAAACACTCCTCCAGAGTGTTAGTATCTTCTGAGAAGTTTACTTTCTTTTTCCTCCCATAAACATTAAAAAAAAAGAAATCTTAAGAAAATTATTCTGTTATTATGATCCTTTGAGGACGAATATCAGTGTCTTCTGTTCCTCTCTGTGGTGGAGTGGTATGTAGCAGGAGCTGGGGTAGATCAGAGCAAGGTGCTGCTGGCCAGCTAGCCTTGTGCGTCCTCAGCTCTGGCTTGGAAATCTCCAACTGGGCAGGTTCTGCCACTTGGTGACTTTCATACTTAGTTTTTAGAAACCAACCCTTTTCTTCAAGTAAAATCCAGACTTAACTCCTGCATAACTCTCAGCAGTCCCTCTCCCATGCGTGGCCTGGCTTCTCTCTGCCATTTCCACCAAAGACAACCTTCTGTCCAGTAATAAAACCCTACTAATAGGTGTGAAGAGAACAGAGAAAGACAGCAGGGCGCTGGTGGCTCATGCCTGTAATCCTAGCTACTCAGAAGGCTGAGATCTGAAGATTATTGTTCGAAGCCAGCCTGGGAAGAAAAGTCCTTGTGAGACTCTTATCTCTAATTAACCACTCAAAAACTGGAAGTAGTTCAATGGCTCAAGTGGTAGAGTGCTAGCCTTGAGCACAAAGAAGCTCAAGGATAGAGCCCTGGCCCCAAGTCCCACAGCTGAAAGAAAAAAAAAATCTGTGCCTGAGGAGCGTGACTTAATGTTGCTCCATGCATATGAACAACAACAGTAACAGTATAATAGTTACAGGACCTAATGTTACTCCATAATATATTATGCATAGAATAATAATGCTCATTATATATGATACGACATAGTATAATCACAGAGGATTGAGCCCAGGGCCTTGCACATGCTAAGCACAGTGAGCTACATCTCACATGAAGTTTAAAAAAATGTAGATTTGTTTCTTGAGCGACCTCATTGATTTCTTAAGCCAGTGGCTCTCACACTTGTCTATCAGAATCACCTGGAGGATGATTCCGCCTCACTGCAAGTTCTTTTTTTGTTTTGTTTTGGTTGCTGATAGTGGGGCTGGAGCTCAGGTCTCTCACTTTCACTTTTGCTTAAGGCCTGTGCTCTACTACTTACTTGAGCCATGCTTCTACTCTGGCTTTTGCTGGCTAATTGGAGGATAAGAGTCTCTCAGACTTCGCTGTCTGAATCGCCTTCAAACCATGGTCCTCAGATGTAAGCTTTCTGAGGAGCTGGGATTACAGGCACGAGCCACTGGCATCTGGCTGAGAAGTGCCTTTCTCAGTTTACAGGTGATCTGATCACTCTTGTGGAACCTGGCAACTTCACTTCCTTTAATGTTTGTTATTTTCATCAACTGAGTGGACGTTCATCCAGCCCCAAGTGTGACGGGGTCCTGGGCGAGGGCGGGGATGGCAGAGGAGTCCAGTGGAGCAGTCATCGATGTCAGGACCTGGAGGGTGGGCTCTGCCCTCGTGCCAGGGCCTTGTACTTGGGAACTTCTTTCTCACAACTGTCGGCCAGACAAATGAAAATGTGGTGGTTGGCTGTGTGCACAAACACCCTTGCTCATCTTTTATTCTGGGTTCCAGGGAGAACTTAGAAGGCTGTCAAGGATTTTTTTTTTTTGTTGGTCGTGGGGCTTGAACTTTGGGCTTGTGCGCTGTCCTTGCGCTCTTCAGCTCAAGGTGAGCGCTCTACTGCTTGAGCCACAGTGCCACTTCCAGTTTTCTAGTGGATTATTGGAGATAAGAGACTCACAGACTTTCTTGCCTGGGTTGGCTTTGAACTGTGATTCTCAGATCTCAGCCTCCTGAGTAGCTAGGATTACAGGCGTGAGCCACCAGCGCCCGGCAAACTTTAGTTGTTTTTTGTTTTTGTTTTTTGGTTGGTCGTGGGGCTTGAACTCTGGGCTTGGGCAATATCCCTCAGTTCTTCAGCTCAAGGCGAGCGCTCTACCGCTTGAGCCACAGCACCACTTCCTGCCAGAGCATTTTCTATGTGTGATACCCCATATTTGTTACTCCTTTCCTATGTTACTCCAGGGAGGTAGTATCAGTACTTCATAGAGAGAGAAACAGGTTCAGAGAGCTCAGAGAACTTGCTCACAAAGTGGTTGCTAAACTCCAACCGTCTGAGTGTGTCCCAGGTTCTTGGGAGCTGTGGTCTAGACACCTTGGTCGTAAACACAAAAACCAAAGAAAACTGATTTCCAGCCACAGCCATTTCTGGTGGAGGAGATCCAGACTTCTATGTTTAACACAAACATGTCTCTCAAGCCAGTTAATCAGTCAAAGTTTGAGACTGTCTTCAGGGAACACCTGCCCTGGGAAATGTTGTCTGTGTGTCTTCTGCAGGAAGGGTATTCAGATGTTCTTAGCAGTTGTTCTCAGATTTGCTCATCAGCTTTATCAAAGTTTGGGATCCTCAAGTGATTTAATTTGATCATTTCATGTGTGGACTTGTGACTGTGTGTGTGTGTGTGTGTGCGCATGCATGTGCACGCATGTGTACCTTCTACGATTAGTTCATATCTGAAGGTACTTGGAGATCTGTTCATTTCTTCTAGGTGTATGGCGTTCTTGGTAGACTGGAGACATTCTTTCCTATGTATGGTTTTGGCACAGCTACTGAGGGGCTGTCGAGATTATAGGCGTGACCCATCACATCTGCCCTGTTCTTAACTTCTTGTCCAGACTGGCCTTGAACTGGGATCCTCCCAATATCTGTCTTGCAAGTAGCCAGGATTACAAACGTGAGGCACTGCCTCCTGTATATTTTCTGACTTTTTAAGAGAATCTTGAGTTTCCACGGGAAAGCTCCCAATTTGAAAAGAATTGTAGAATTGCTAGAACTGTAAGAAACAGACAAATGATTCTAAGGGTAAACAGAACCCAGAGGAGGGCCTGCTGGGGCCTTGCTGCTGGTTTTCATTGCCTGGTCTTCCTTTCGAGTCCATTGTGGAGGTGGGTGTGAGATCCGAGTGTTTCATAAACACGCACTTGTATTGCAGACCAAGTGTGAGGAGTACTGGCCGTCCAAGCAGGCCCAGGACTATGGGGACATCACTGTGACGATGACCACAGAAGTTGTTCTTCCAGAATGGACCATCAGAGATTTCACTGTGAAAAACGTAAGTGAAGAGCACGAAGAAGGCGGATCTTAGGCAAGGACTGGCTGTCGGGAGTGACATGTCTAGGTGGAGAGTAACTAATAATCTTCCATGCACCCAAAGCATGCTTTATGGAGTTAACAATTCAGTATGTGCAGAGACACTAAAGTGGCCTCTTAGCTTGACTCCCTTGAGGGAACTGTTCTAAGACATTCCTGAATAAGATGCATCTGAAGAGCAGGGCTTGGCAGCAGTGCCCTTTTCCTTTCCTTCTACTTGCAGGTGACTTGCTTGTAGAGTTTTGTCACCATCTGAGGCTGTTGGACTAAGGGAATGGGAGAGAGCTGCATAACCTGATTTCAGGGCGTCTCCAGTCCCCTCCAAAGTCTGCCTTACACTGTGAAGGCATTCTGAGATGGGAAGTCCAGTTCATGTATCGGGGTGGTTTGTTCCCCCCCCCCCCCCCCCCCCCCCCCCCGGTGTGGGTCCTCGGGCTTGAACTCAGGGCCCAGGCACTGAGCTGCTTTTGCACAAGGCTGGCACTCTACCACTGGAACCACTTCTAGCTTTTTGTTTTGGTAGTTAGAGTCTCTTGGACTTACCTGCCTTGTCTTGCTTTGAACTGTGATCCTCTCATTTCAGCCTCCTGAGTAGCTAGGATTACAGGTGTGAGCCACTGGTGCCTGGCTCAGCTTTGTTTTTAACAGAGGCGAAGCTCGGAAGCCATGCCCATATCTAGCTTCTGGAGTGTAACTAAACCGTGACTTATTTGCGCCCCGTATCATTGCTTCAGCTGGCATGTAGACCATGTGTGCAGCCTCTCCTCCCTGGGTCCCATGTCTGTGGACTCAGTCACCCTGAGATTGAAAATATTCCAAACAAATACTGTGTTGGTATTGAACACGGTCCAGCTTCTTTTTCTGGTCATGGTTTCCTTAGTGATAGAGCACAGCAGCTGCTCTCATAGATTGGACATTCTATTAGCTGTTGTGAGTAACTTAGATGTGGTTTAAAGTGTAGGCATGAGATGATTAGTGATGGGGACATACAAGAATGTCCTGTGAGCAATGTGGAGTTCTTACACAGGCTTAGGAGCAGTCCCCCTCCCCCCCCCCCCCCCCCCCCGGCTTTCTAGTATATGCTGGCATATATGTGCCTGTCACTGACTGCCACATCCTGTGGCAAATACCAATTTACTCAGGGGACCTGGACATCCACAGATTTGTATATCTGGTGGGTGCTGGAGCTATTCTTCATAGGCAGTGAGGGGTGACTGTATGTAGTAGCCATGAGGAAATGTTAGGGTATAACCTTGGTGAGTCAAACAAACTTACTGGGAGACAATGCCTTACGCACATTTATTAATAGTGCATAAAAGAGCTGGGTGAAGTCATTTACCCCATCATCCTAGCTACTTAGGAGGCTGTTATTATCTGGAAGTCATCAGCCAGGTTTGAATCTAGCCAGGGCAGAAAAGTCTGTCTCCAAAATAACCAGAAAAAGCTGGGATAGATGTGTGGCTCAAGTGGTAGAGCATCAGCTGAGCAAGCAAACTGGGCAAATGTGAGGACCTGACTTCAAACAAACAAAAAATAGTCCATAAAAAAAAATAAAGCCTGGAAATAGATCCAGTGGTCTTGATGCTTCTGTTAAGCTATTTTGGTTTGGTTTAGCTGGGTCTATGAAGCATTCAGGAGGTTCAGGGTTGAGGGCTCAAGACCATTACTGGGTTGGAACTTGGGAAGGAAAGGGATCTGAACTCAAAATCCAAGCCTCGGCATACATCTGGAGTATCGGGGAAGTCATCCCGTATGTCTCTGAACCTCCACTCCTGTGTCCTTGAAGGGGATGTCAAACCCTCTTTCCCAGACTGGTAATGAGGATTTGTGAACAAGGTGGGGTGTGTGCAAACACTGCAGAGCTTCTGTGCACCTGTAAAGTGTTCTGATTTCTAGCTGTAGACAAGTGCCCTGGTACAGCCGCTGTGCAAACCAGTGTGGGGGTACTCAAAAAAATGAACAGTAGAACCACCTGATCCCATGGTGGGTGTACATCTGGAGGAATGTCAGTCAACCTGTGCTCCAGCTCATGTCTGCACTGGTCACAATAGCCGGACGGTGGAGCTACCTGGGTGTCCATCGGCTGATGAGTGGGTGGAGAAAATGTGGCTTATTCACCATGCAGTCTTACTCAGCCATGAAGAAGAAAGAAATGACGCTGTTTGCTGGACCATGGTCGAAACGCATGTGAAGCAATATAAGCTAGGCTGAGGAAGACACATGACTCATATCCTCTTGCCCTTAGAGCCTAGACCTAAAAACCCGAATGAGATGAGTGTAAAAGAAGGGGTGCGGAACTGTTTGGCCATGGGAACCAGTGGAAGAGAAGAGGGTGAAAGGAGATGATGATGGGGAAACTGAATGACGGAATATGTACAAAACGGTGTGGTCTTTAGAAGGTGGGGAGCAGGGAATGAGAAAGAGTGCTGGAGGGGGTGAATTTGGGCAGGGTACATGATGCGCATGTGTGGGAACATCACAACGAAACCCCTTTGTACCGCTGACATATGCTAATACTGGCAGTGAGGAGTTTTCTATGTCTTTGCCTGTCTCCTCCCCACCCCAGTGCTCCATTTCCCTCACCTTTGGGGTGCTGAGATGCCCGTGTCTCTAATCTCACCCCTCCCTTGGCTTCTAGATCCAGACAAGTGAGACCCACCTTCTGCGCCAGTTCCATTTCACCTCCTGGCCGGACCATGGCGTTCCAGATACCACTGACCTGCTCATCACCTTCCGCTACCTGGTCCGAGACTACATGAAGCAGAGTCCCCCGGAGTCCCCCATTCTGGTGCACTGCAGGTATGTGGTTGGCAAGTTGCCTGTGTGAGTGCGCGTGTAACAACTTTGGATATGTTGATTATTGACATGTCATCAAAGGCAATGCAGTAGCCCTTTGGAGCATCAAGAAAGGTTTGCATAGGAGATCACACGCCAAGCCCTATGCCCCAAGATTCTACAGCAGGAGTTGGCAAACTAGAGCCTGTGGACCAAATTGGGTCAGCTGCTTGTTTTTGTAGATAGACTCTCCTTCAAACTTAGCCACACCCACTTGTGTTTATTATTTATACTGTGTGCTATTGCCTTTTTTTGATGTTAGTAGTCGGGTTTGAATTCAGAGCCTGGGACTTCCCCTTCACTTTTTTTGTTTATGACTCATGCTCTATCACGTGAGCCACAGCTCCACTTTCAGCTTTTTGGTGGTTCGTTGGAGATAAGAATCTCATGGGCTTCCATAGTAATCAGAACAGCTTGGTACTGGCACAAGAACAGACCTGAGTCATCAGAACAGCTTGGTATTGGCACAAGAACAGACCTGAGGACCAATGGAATAGAAACTGAAGACCCAGAAATGAACCTACAGACCTATAGCTACCTAATCTTCAATAAGGGAGCCAAAAAAATAAAATGTAACAAAGAGAGCCTCTTCAGTAAATGGTGCTGGCAAAATTGGTTAAACACCTGAACAAAACTAAAGCTAGATCCTTATATAGCACCCTGAACCAGAATCAGCTCCAAATGGATCAAAGACCTCGAAGTCAAAGCAGACACCCTGAAAACATTACAGGAAAGACTAGGAGAAACTTTAGGGCTGTTTGGCACAGGCAGAAATTTTCTTAATAAAGACCCTGAAACACAACAAATCAAAGAAAGGTTGGACAAATGGGATTGCATGAAACTGCAGAGCTTTTGCATGGCAAAAGACATAGCTAGCAAAATCGATAGAAAAGCCCATGCATTGGGAGAAGATCTTCACTAGCCATACAATGGACAAGGGTCTCATATCTAAAATATACTTAGAACTCAAAAAATTAAATCTTCAACAACAGATCCTCAAACAATTGCCTGATTAATAAATGGGCTAAAGATTTAAAGAGAGATTTCTCTGAAGAGGAAATAAGAATGGCCAATAGATACATGAAGAAATGCTCAACTTCTCTAGCCATAAATGAAATGCAAATCAAAACAACATTGAAGCTGGGTGCTGGTGGCTCATGCCTATAATCCTAGCTACTCAGGAGGCTGAGATCTGAGGATCATGGTTCAAAGCTAGCCTGGGCAGGAAAAGTCTGTGAGACTTTTTTTTTTTTGGTTGGTCCTGGGACTTGAACTCTGGGCCTGGGAGCTGTCCCTCAGCTCTTCAACTCAAGGCTAGTGCTTTACCAGTTGAGCCACAGCGCCACTTTCTGTTTTCTGGTAGGGTATTGGAGATAAGAGTCTCACGGACTTTGGGACTTTGCTGACTTTGCTGCCCGGGCTGGCTTTGTACTGTGATCCTCAGCTCTCAGCCTCCTGAGTACTAGGATTACAGGTGTGAGCCACAGCGCCTAGCCCTGTTGAGACTCTTATCTCGAATAAACCTCTCAGAAAACCAGAAGTGGCGCTGTGGCTCAAGTGGTAGGGTGCTAGCCTTGAGCTGAAGAGCTGAGGGACAGTACCCAGGCCCAGAGTTCAAGCCCCATGACTGACAAAAACACCACCAACAGCAACAAACAAAAAAACATTGAGATTCTACCTCTCCCCAGTTAGAATGGCTATAATCAAGAAATCTAATAATGACAGATGCTGGAGGGGATGTGGCCAAAAGGGAACCCTACTGCATTGTTGGTGGGAATGTAAACTTGTTCAACTGCTTTGGAAAGCAATAGGGAGGTTCCTCAAAAGACTCCACATAGAGCTCCCCTATGACCCAGCAATCCCACTTTTGGGCATTAACCCAAATGATCACAAACAAAACCATACTAAAGCTAACAGCACTACTATGTTTATTGCAGCGTTATTTATGATAGCTAAGAAATGGAACCAACCTAGATGCCCCTCAGTAGATGACTGGATCAAGAAAATGTGATATATGTACACAATGGAATTCTATGCCTCCATCAGAAAGAATGACATTGCCCCATTTGTTAGGAAATTGAAAGACTTGGAAAAAATTACATTAAGTGAAGTAAGCCAGACCCAAAGAAACATAGGTCCTATAGTTTCCTTTATTTGCAATAACTAGTATATGGATAGGACAAGCAGAAAAGGTAAAAAAACTATGTACATATGACCATATAAGATGATTCTAAGTGAAATGATCCCCAAGATAGGGACACAAGTGTTTTTATCTTTCTTGCTGTTGTTTTTAATGTATCTATAATGTACCATGTGATTTTTTTTTTTTTTGTTTCTTTTGTATGTTCTTCCCCCATGGTATAACATACCCTGTTTTCATTGTATTTGATGTCGGTGCCCTGCATCTTGTATATACATTTTTCTAATTTGGGGAGGGGAAAGGAAATAACAGAAAGCTGAAATAGGGATCCAAGTTGACCTATTGTAACAATGAGATGTACAATACAGTATGTTGAAAACGAACTTTACAACTTGGGGGGGAGGGAGGAGTTGGGGAGGTGGGGAGGGAAGGAATGGTAGGGGAAAAACAAGGAGGAGGTAACAATACTTGATAGGAAATGGACTCATTAATTACTCATGTAATTGTAAGTCCTCTGTACAGTACTTTTTTTTTATTGTGAAAATACTGTACAGAAGGGTTACAATTACATGAGCAAGGTAATGAGTACATTTCTTATCAAGCATTATTGCCTCCTCCTTTGTTTCCCCTTACCATCTCTTCCTATTACCGCGCCCCCCCCACCCCCACAACAAAGATGTAAAGTTTGTTTTTCAACATAACGTCTGTACATCTCATTGTTGCAGTAGGTCCACCTGTATATCTATTTAAACAATTTGGTTTTTTTCCTTCCCCTCTACAAATTACACCAACATCAAATACAGTGAAAACAGGAATATGTCTGAGACAAGCAAAAACGGTCAGATAAGTTGATGTTAGGCGAAATGAACCCCAAGATAAGGACTCAAATGTTTTTTCTTTCTTGCGATTGTTTCTAACATATTTATAAGATATTTCTTTGTTGCTTTGTATGTCCCTCCCCCACAGTATAACCCCTGTTTTCTGTACAGTATTTTTTTTTTTGTCGGTCGTGGGGCTTGAACTCTGGTCCTGGGCGCTGTCCCTCAGCTCTTCAGCTCAAGGTGAGCGCTCTACCACTTGAGCTACAGTGCCACTTCCGGTTTTCTGGTGGTTTATTGGAGATAGGAGTCTCACAGTCTCTCCTGCCCGGGCTGGCTTTGAACCGCGATCCTCAGATCTCAGCCTCCTGAGTAGCTAGGATTACAGGCGTGAGCCACCAGTGCCTGGCTTCTGTACAGTATTTTTAACAATAAAAAATATATACAAAAAAAGGAAAAGAATCTCATGGGCTTTTCTGCCTGGGCTAGTTTTGAACTTGATCCTCAGAACTCAGCCTCCTGAATAGCTAGGATTACAGGTGTGCACCACCTCACCCAGCATTTTTATACGCTATTAATAGGCATAAAATATTGTCTGCTGATACATTTGTGTCACCAACATTATGTTGTGTCATCTCCTCTCCTCATGGCTACTACACAGAGTTAACCCTCAGTAGCCATTGGAAGAATGGCTCCTAAACCCATTGCTGCTGCCTTTATGCTGCAGGGGTCTGGTCAGCCAAGCTGGACACAAAGCCTGTGTGTAGTCCTTATTCTAGAACTGTTAAGATGTTAGTCTGAAAGTGGAGGAAACTGGTTTTGTGCAGAATACAGGAGAGGCGTAGTTGCTACGAGGAAGGAAATGATGACACCAGACCTGGAAGCCCTTCAGTGTAAGAAGCGCTGGCTCGGAAACACAACAAATCAAAGAAAGGTTGGACAAATGGGATTGTATAAGGTTGCAGAGCTTCTGCAGGGCAAATGACATAGCTAGCAAGATCAATAGAAAGCCCACGGACTGGGAGAAGATCTTTACTAGCCATACAACGGACAAGGGTCTCATATCTAAAATATACTTGGAACTCAAAAAATTAAACCCCCCAACAACAAATCCTCAAAGAAACAACTGCCCAATAAGTAAGTGGGCGAAAGACTTAAAGAGAAGCTTCTCTGAAGAAGAAAGAAGGATGGCCAATAGACACATGAAGAAATGTTCAACATCCCTAGCCATAAAAGAAATGCAAATCAAAACAACATTGAGATATCACCTCACTCCAGTAAGAACAGCAAAAATCAAGAACTCTAACAACAACAGATGCTGGAGGGGATGTGGACAGAAAGGAACCTTACTTCATTGTTGGTGGGAATGTAAACTTGTTCAACCACTTTGGAAAGCAGTATGGAGGTTCCTCAAAAGACTCCACATAGAGCTCCCCTATGACCCAGCAATCCCACTTTTGGGCATTTATCCTAATGTTTACAAAAAAGACCACACTAAAGCTACCAGCACAACTATGTTTATTGCAGCATTATTTACCATAGCTAAGATATGGAACCAACCCAGATGCCCCTCAATAGATGAATGGATCAAGAAAATGTGGTATATATACACAATGGAATTCTATGCCTCCATCAGAAAGAATGACATTGCCCCATTTGTTAGGAAATGGAAAGGCTTGGAAAAAATTATATTAAGTGAAGTAAGCCAGGCCCAAAGAAACATAGGTCCCATGGTTTCCCTTATTTGCAATATCTAGTATAGGTATGAGTCAAGCGGAAAAAGTCAGAGAAGGTGATGTTAGGAAAACGAACCCTCAAATATGTATTTTAATGTTTTTGTTTCTTTCGTGCATGTGTTTCTAATGCATTTATAAGATTATTTCTTGGTTGCTTTGTATGTCCCTCCCCCACAGTGTAACCCCTGCTTTCACTATATTTGATGTCAGTATAACATGTGGAGGAGATGGGGACAAACAAGTCGTTTAAGGATTCAGGTGGACCTGTTGCAACAATGAGAAGTACAAAATGTCATGTCAAAACCAGCTTTACAATGTCGGAGGGGGGGGAGGGGGGGTATGATTGGGTGGGGGGGAGGGGGGAGGCTGGGAAGGGAGGTGAAGGGTAAACAAAGGAGGAGGCTGCAATGCTTGGTAAGAAATGTATGCATTATCCTGACCATGTAATTGTAACCCCTCTGTACAGTATGTTCTCAAATAAAATAAAATAAAATTTAAAAAAAAAAAAAAAAAGAAAAAAAAAAAAGAAGCGCTGGCTCCACGCCAGCGCAGCTGTGCTTACTGAAATTTGAGGCAAGTAGGTGTCTGCAGATGCTGGCTGTTGGAGCTGGTGGAGAAGTGCAGGTGTAGGGACCAGTGGGGGAGTCTGAGAGGTCCAGGGTGGAGGCCACCGTGGTGATAGGCTTGTTTCTCTTTCTTCCAGTGCCGGAGTGGGAAGGACGGGCACTTTCATGGCCATCGATCGCCTCATCTATCAGATAGAGAATGAGAACACGGTGGATGTGTACGGGATTGTGTATGATCTCCGCATGCACAGACCTCTGATGGTGCAGACAGAGGTGAGCCTGCCGGGGGTGGGGGGGGGGAGCGTTGGGTTTGTGCCTGCTTCTGAAAGCTTGCATGGGGTGGTGGCATCCCTGGGTTAAACATTCCACCTGTCCAGGTTGCTCTGGCCGTGGCTGTGAGGTAACACTGGATCTTCACAGATCCTGGATGGAGTTGGAGTGCAGTGGCCTGGCGGGCAGAGGCTGCAGCACCGGAGCTGATGTACCTGGCTGTCTCAGACTTGCCCAGTCAGCTAAACATGTCTGAACTTTGGTTTCCAGGTTATAAGCTCATAAAATTGGTGTTTTTCACCTCTTGGATTTTTGTGAAGGTCTCACCATCTTTATTCCTCTACTTTTTTTTTAAAAGTTTTTGGCGAGTTTGAGCTTAGGGCCTGCTGCGTGCTAGGCAGGCCCAGGATTTCAGCCACTCACAGAGTCCTGTCCACACCCTTTAGTTATTCTTTTTTTAAATTAGGATCTTGCACTTTTTGCCTGTCGCTGGCCTCAGGCGATCATCTTTTCCTTCTGGTCTATCACAAAAATAGGATTACAGATGGGAGCCTCCACACCCATCTTGTTTGTTGGGCTATGGGAATCTCACTATCTTTATGCTTGAATGGACCTCAAATTGCAGTCCTCCTCATCTCTACCTCTGGAGGGATTTGGGATTACAGGTGTAAGCCACCATACGGGGCTCTGGTTCGACCATCTTTAAAGAAGCTCATGAAATAGACATTAGCCAATAGCATCATGCTGCTTCAATCATTTATCCAGCCTGTTGATGGCTGGTAGATGGAGAAGATGCCTGTGTGGTACAGTGTGATATGTATGAGACTGATGGATTTGTCTTCCTGGAAGTATTTTCCAAATATGCTGAGCAGTAGCTTCCGTACCAGGATGAAGGCAGAATGCTGATTTTGTATCAGGCAGTTGCCCTGGCCAGTTAATAGCTTATGAGTAGGTGCTGTGTTGTTTTATTGTCAGGGAGTGTGGTTGAGGTTTGGGTACACTGTGTGTTGTGGGAGGGGGTAAACTGTTGGTTTGATACAGAGGGATGGTTAGAGGAGAGAGGCTCATTTCTCTGCTGTGACTGCCCAGAATAGCAGGCTCGCCATCTTTTCTGCTCTCAGAGAAACAGCCTGCAATGTTTTTCTCATCTCTTGATACCTTGAAGGCAATCCTTTGTCATGATACAGGACTACACAGAATGTATTTTTTTCTCTTTTATTTTTCCTTCTTGAATTCCTCTTCCTGAGGCAGTTGGCATATGTCATTGGGAATACGTTTGTGTATATCTGCAGACATCCATGCATGCACTTATGCAGAACATTTTGGAAAGAAAAAGGGGATTCTGGTTCACATATAATATGAATGTAGGAAGTTGTTTTTCTTACAACACAAGGTTACCTATTTGTACCTACTCTCTCTCTCTCTAATATTATATATATATATATATATATATATATATGTATGTATGTATGTATGTATGTATGTATGTAGCACTGGGGTTTGAACTCTGGATTTCATGCTTGCTAGGTAGGTTGGTGGTATACCACCTGAGCCATGCTCCCAGCATTTCTTGCTTTCTTTATTTTTCAAATAAGGTCTCAAGTATATGCCTGGGCCTGTCTGTACTGCCATCCACTTTATACTTCCTGAATAGCTAGGACAACAGGTGTGTGACACCATACCTGGCTTTTTATTGGCTGAAATGGGAGGGGGGGTCTCATGACTCTCTCTCCCCGCCCCTTGGCCTCCAGTTGTGATCCTTTGGATCTCTGCCTCCCATGTAACTAGGTGTGAGCTACTTCTTGTTTTTTAAATGATTACCTGCTGATTTTCTTGTGCTTGCCTGAATCTCCTCTCAGGAAAAATACAGTTTACTCTTTGCTCCTCCTAGGTCAAGAAAATCATGCTGGGATATTTTACCATCTGAACATTTTGTGCATTATGTTCCTCCAGACCTTTCTTCTTCCTTCCCCAAGATGCTGCCGTGTCCTTGAGAGGGAAAGTGAGCGAGTGCGCCTCAGGTTGAGGTTCACTGACATAGAAATCCTGTGTGGGATTCCAGATTCCACCAGAATGTTTTTCACCTCTGTGAACTTTGCTGTTTGCTGGTTGGGCACCTGGAGTTTGAATGGTGGTACTGGCGCCGAGTTTAAAATGATTTTGCCTGCGCGTGCTTGGGACCTGTGCCTATACACTCTTTTTCTCTTTCTTACCAGGACCAGTATGTTTTCCTCAACCAGTGTGTTTTGGACATCATCAGAGCCCAGAAAGACTCAAAGGTGGATCTCATCTACCAGAACACCACAGCGATGACAATCTATGAAAACCTGGAGCCTGTGAGCATGTTTGGAAAGACAAATGGCTACATCGCTTAGCGGTCCTGCCTCTTCCGGGAGTGAGGCAGCCCGTCACCCCCACCGCGAGGGAAACGCCCGTGCCCACGAGTCTCCTGTCTCCAATCTTAGTCCTTTGTTCTGTTCTGTTAGAACCATCTTCCAGCGAGTGTGTTAAGCCGTGGAGGTGGAGGAGTCGGGGCTGCCAGGGTTCGTGTGTGGGCGTGGATGGATCGGCTGTAACTCTGCCCACCAGTGGGATGAATTCACTTCTCCCCCTCTCCCCTTGAAAATTGTGGAAAACCAGGAAAAGTGAGCTCTAGGATTTTCCTTCTTTTTCTTTCCCCCCCCCTTTCTTCAAAATTGTTTTTCCTTTCTTCTTCTTCTTTTTTTTTTTTTAAGACTATTTTCTATGATTCACACGCTAAAGCCAGGATTGTGTTGTGTTTTGGATATATTTGAAGTATCAGAGGCCTATTTTTACCTACTGTATCTTGGAATCTCACCGCTGGAAAATACTGCATCGTGGGTGGGTGGTTGTTGTGTAGGGAGGGGCACGCGCGGAGCCCCTTCTGCACGGGTTTTCTATTTGAACATGTGCCTTTTTCTGAATAATGCTTCCACAGGCAAAACTCAGTAGATATCTCTATTTTTGTATTGAATCTCGTAATTGGAATATATGGGATATTTAAACAGTAGTTTAGCATCAGAGGTCTGCCTGCTGGTCACATTCCAGCCTCCCATTTGATTAGAGGAGGCCTCTCTCTCTCTCTCTCTCTCTCTCTCTTTTTCTCTCTCTCTCTCCCCACTCTGCCACCTTCTCCCACCTCCACATAACACTTTTCTTCCCTTCCCCTTCTCCTACTTTTCTCCAAAGACTTCTGTTTTGTAACTTATGTTCCCCCCAGCCCTTTGGTTGGGTGAGAATTTCTGTAGGGGGTCGGGGTTGGAGGGAAAGGGAGAAACAGGAACAGAAGGAGTTCATGGTTGACATCGAGTCTTATGCCTCTCTCTTTCTCTTTCTCATTTTTTTTTTGCTGCCCTCCCCCCTTTTTCTCATTGCTGTTTTTGGTAAGAAGGATTATTTAAAGGTGCAATATGTGACTTAGTGATTCACGATGCTCTGTGTTTTTAGTCATGTTTTACTCAGGTTGGCGTTTTCTGTGTGTGTGTGTGTGTCATGTGTACACTGTGTGTGTGCGTGCATGTGTGTGTGTGCGTGTGTTTTAAAAAAGCGTGGCAATCTGTGAACATTCCAGTGGTGAGCTCAGTGTCACACTAACCCTACCCCTCCGAAGTCCACTGGCTTTCTTCTTTCTGCAGTGACACTTAACCGCCCGCCATCTACTGTACATAGAAATACTAAACTCTCACCACAGTTGTTCTGATAAGTTGAGGTGTACAAAGTTCGATTTGTATCAAAGATGTAATTAATTATTTTTAAAACCTTTTCACTATACTGCTGCTGTAATTACTATGATTTTTTTTTACAAAAGAAATATGTAGATTAAACCAATTTTTTTTTTTTTTGCTTTGGGTGGTGTAGTCACCAAGCATTTAGAATTTATGTGGATTTTATTTTATTGGTACATAACCTGTAAACTTCTCAAGGCATTAACATGAAAGGATTTGTTTCTCGTTATATTGTGGCTCAGGTTATATTTTTGAAGGTTTGAGTTTCTTCTCCCATGGACAATGAAGTGTATCCAAGGGCTTATGAAGGAATCCCCTGGGGATGACAGAGATGTGGCCGTTTCTTGCAGTCACCCATCCTTCTGGAGACGTCAGGACTGCCGGCCTGTCCTGTGAGACATGGAAGCGCGGGTCCTTAGACGTGGAAGCTTGGGGCAGCCGCCACTGTAGTCGGGAGGGAGCGTTCTCCGGACGCCTGGCTGCTCGCTGGCACTTTGATGACTGGGTGTGTTACTGGCTAGCTTAGGGAGAGGGGGGTGGGGCAGCCACGGTGGACTTTCACAGCCCTGGATGTGGTTTGGAGAGGCAGAGCTGCGTGCCCCCCTTCCCTGTGAGGTACTGAAGGGATACAGAGGAAAGGTCCCGTGGTGTCCTGTGTTGGGGAGAATTTTACGTCTCAAATGGAAATTGCACTTTTTTGTTGATTTTTTTTTTTTTTTTTTTTTCCATGCTTGGGTAGGAAGAAGTTTTCCCGGCTCTTCAATGAGGATGGGTGGCCAGGCTGGGCGCCCCGCCTCCGCTCTCTCTCTTTCTGTGTGTGTGAGTGTGAGTGTATGGGGGAAGGGAGTCGCTGGCTTTGCAGGTGGGACTCAGGGAAGCCGCGCAGGACCCTGGCTGTGGGCGATGGCTTCTGCACCTTCACCACATGGGTCTGCGGTGAATGCAGGCCGACCTCAGGGGGAGGGCACAGCGGGGTGCAGAGGCCCCCGGCTCCCCTCTCCCCCACTCCAGAGTGTCAGAAAGCACGGTGACCACTACCTGTGTTCCGTCCCACGGGGGTCTCCTCAGCCCCACTGCCAGGCAGAAATCAGAGGAAACAACCTGCTCCTAAAAAGAGTCCTTGAAAAGATTAAAGCAAAAATATACATACTGTAATTAAAAAAATGCAAAGCACAGGCCCCCCCCCCCCCCCCCCCTCACCGCCCGCCTGATCGGGGCTTGGGCAGCTGTCCAGAAACATGGAGCTCCGTGGCATTTCCAAACCCAAGAGCAAGGCTGGTGTGGAGAGGCCTGGAATGCCCAGTGGACAGGCAGGCCGGCCCCACGCGCGCTCGTGGGGGGGTCTGGGCTGCGATGAGGGGGACACGGATGTGGCCAGGGACGCAGAATGTGTACGTAGGGGGGACTCCTAAGGCTGGAGCGGGCTGGAGACAGAGGACAGATGTTCCTGGGGGACGTCCCAGCCTCGGGAAGAATGAACTGGATCTGGAAGGGTGCAGGGCAGTGGTGGGTGTGGTAGAAAGCCTGGCTAGCAGTGTCAGAAGCTGTACGCAGCCCATGGAGAGTTTTCTATCAGGGCAAGAGGTAAAGACCGTGGCCCGCTAGCTTAGGGATGTAGGCCATCCAGCTCTCTTCTCAAGAGCAAAAGCGCCCTTCCCTCCCCGGTGGAGGAACTGGCATTTGGTCTCAGCTCTCCCCCAGCCACATTGCCACCTCCAGCTAGACTCTGGCAAACCCACCCCCGCGGGGGGGGGGGTGCTTTGTCGAGCCGGGGCTCTGGGTGGGGAGGGAGGGGGAGGGGTGGGGGTGGACGCCGCAGCCGATTGTGCTTGGGTTCTCACCGGAGATGGACAGAGCTGAGCTTCTTTTGAAATGATGGATCGCGTCACTGGCTGAGCTTCCACAAGAGGTGGGTTTGCTGCCCAAGTCCCGAGTTTTCAGACTACTGTGTAACAGTGTTGTGTGTGACATGCTGTGCGCTTTCTTCTCTCCCGGGGGCACATAGGAATAGGCTGTGTTGACATGGACTCGAAACTGTAATTTTCTTGTAACTATTTTGGAATGATGCATATTTCTAATGTTTGTGATACTTGTACAGAGCATTGCTGTTGTTGCTTTTTTTTTTTTTTTAAGGAAAACAATGGCCTGAAAAAAATTTTTTAAACTTACAAATACCAAATATTAAAAAAATGTCAACACATGCCACCTTGTTTTCTTTCTTTCCTCCCTTAACTGAAATCAGCCTTCGTAAAAACAGTTTCCTTTGGGTTTTCCTGGGTGTTCTCGAGCAATCATCCCACATACTACAGACTGGATAGTTCACACACGTGCACACACACACACACACACACCTGAAAATCCTGGCCTGTGGAGGTGAGGTGTGAAGGTGTAGCCAGGCCTCTCCCCTTCGCTGGTTTTCTCCTTGTGGCCTCCCACAGTCTTCCCTCTGCAGCGTGTGGGTATGCATGTGAGGGTATGTGCGCACATGCGTGTGCATGCATGCGCACGTGTGTGTGTGTGTGTGTGTGTGTGTGTGTATTGCATCTTGTCTTGCAAGAACTTCACTTACCCTAGATTAGGGGCCTTCCATGACCTCATTTCTAAATCTAGTCATACTCTGAGACACTGAGGGGAGGACTCCAGGGGATCTTTGGGGGACACAACCATCATACATCCCGGAGGAAGGGAAGACTTGGAAGACCTCACTGGCTGTGTGGGGTGTGGATCTGACTTGGTACAGGCGCGTGTGCACACCTGGGGTACTGGAAGCATTGTGGCTGAGGGGTTTGGAGGAAATCTCAGAATAGGTTCATTTGGGTAGTCCTTAAATTTCATCTTTGTGCCTTGCAGCAAACTATGCCTCAGACTCCACATCCTCCGGCCTCAGCTTCCCAAGTGCTAGGGTTATAGGCACGGACCACACTGCCCAACTAAAATGGTTTTGTTTCTTCATGCAGGCAATTGTGGACAGAAGCATTTTTTGTCTGTAAGATTAAAAGAAATTTCCCTTGTACCTCGATTCCCTAAGACGGTAGTGAAGACTTGATTATGACCAGCCGTTCTGGCCTGCTAGTGACAGCACTTTGCTGGTGGAGGAGGTGGTGTGGAGGTCCTTCTGCTATGCCAGGCCCTGCTGGGGTGTGGAGGCCGGAGAATGAACAACACATTCAGGCGCTCTCTCAACTGTTGCTTTTACAAAACCAGGAGGAACTGGTTGGGCTTTCACAACTCACTTTGGGGCCGAATGTTGGGAGATCTTTGTGGGAACACATGAAATTCTGGGGCTTTGCAGGAAATCCTGCAGGCGGGTGAGAAAGCTGTGACTTGAAAGTCGAGCTGCACACGGGTGATGTTGGTCAAGATGCGTTGTACTCAAGAACCAATTTGTTGAATGGTAACATTTTCGGGTACAACTCCTCAAAGATAAAATAATTCGAAAAGTTGAGCTGCCAGCAGTTTCGGATGCTACCACTAGATAGCGCAGGAGGACTGCATGGCGGGGGAAGCAAGAGGCGGAGAGAGAAAAGAATCAGGATGTGGATAATAAAAGACCCTACGTCAACAGCAGGCCAAGAAAGTGTACTTGTTGGCAGCTGGTAGATTTGTCTTTGTGAATTACTTGGTATGTTCACGCTAAAAGATAGAAAATTCAAAAAGGGGAAAAAAAAACGCCACTTGGAGCCAATAATATGCACCCTCAGGGATTCTCTCTCCTTGGGGAAGCCTGAGGACAGGTCCTAGAGCAAGCCTGATGGGGGATGCAATGCTCAGATATAACCACAAGAGGGAGCGCGAGAGCAGCTTTTCAACCCCACCTTCCAGGCCTTCTGCCCTACCTTTTAGGCCTTCAGGGGGCTACAGCTTAGTCAGAGGTACTCGGCCAAGATCCTTGATTTACAGACGCTGACTGTCTGCCTGATGTGGTAAATGTTTGCTGTTTCTTGTGGCTGTGTTTTGGAATAATTTGTCCTACAGCAAGTAATAACTACAACAGACAGACAATACCAATGTTGACTGTGATTTAAATAGTGTGATTTAAATAATTCCAGAAGCTTCCAATGCTCATATTCATTCTCATTCTCTTTGCATATGCATACCCATATATACCATGTACGCACACATTACTTATATAAAAGTACAAGTATATAAATAGCATTTATATGTGCATTTAATAACCATTAGCATTTATGCATGTAGCAATATGTATGTATACATATATTGTTACATGGTAACAGTATATATAATGATATAGAGAGGGGTTACAGTTACATAAGTCAGCTAGTGAGATGAGTGCATTTCTTTTTGGACAGTGTCATGTCTTCCTTCACTTCTTCCCAGTTTTTCCTTCCAGTCCCCTCCCACAAGTTTTTGTTTTGGCGCCAGTTCTGGGGCTTGAACTCAGAGCTTGGGCACTGTACCTGAGCCTTTTTTGCTCAAGGTTAGTGCTCAACCCCTTGAGCTACAGCTCTACTTCTGGCCTTTTGGTAGTTAATTGGAAATAAGAGTCTCATGGACTTTTCTGTGCAGGCTGGCTTTGAACCACGATCCTCATACCTCACCCTTCTGTGTAGCTCAGATTACAGGTACAAGCCAACTTGTGCCTAGCTTAACATGTATCTTTGAGTAAGGTTTCTATTGAAGCATGATGCATACAGAAAACATGTACCATGCATAGATTGTTAGTCTGAAGTGTTTCCATACAATGAGCTTCCTCATGTACCCAGCATTCAGACTGAGAGCAGATACCAGCAACACTCTAGCAGCCCCAGCACGCCCCCTCCAGGAACAGCATGGCACAGCTACTCACTACCCTGGCTGTCAACATCCTAAAGCACTTTGGTGCTCAATTAAAAAGAAATTACTGTAAAGATGCTGTACAGCGGGGGTGACGGTTATAGGAGTAAGGCAATGAGGACATTTCTTGCATTGTTACCCCTTCCCTTCTAGTTCCCCCACTATCCCTTCCCTGTGCTCAAGTTTTTAAAACATTAATTCTTGCACTTGATTCCCTCTTCACAATTTTAACAACTTCAGCATATTCCTCAATATAAACATGCCCTCTCTCATTTCCTCTTCTGTTGGTTGGTATCAGAAGATTTCGGATTTTACTCGGTGACAAATAAGGCTGTGGGGCCTAAGACAGAAGCTGGATGGCCCAGGCAGCTGTGATTAATTCCTTTTCTAAAAAAGTCTGGGCGTAGCCACCGAGTCCTATAAAGGAGTTCCAGCTCACTAAGTCAGTTTATGTGTGCAGTGCCTCTTGATCAGTGTGGCCCCTTCCTCTCCTCCCCCTCCTATCTCCCCCCCCCTCAAGTTCCACTTTCATGATATACATGGAATAGTATGACTGTGATCTTCCACCATTCCTCTCTTCTTAGTAAATTCTTCTACACATAAATTTAGTAAGTAAAAATTAAGGCTGGAATGCAATCCTACTGAATTTCTCTTCTAGCATTCTTATCAGAGTTGCATGGGATAATTATGATAGTAAGCTATGAGTGTTACAATAATAAATCTCCCTCACTATTATTATTATTATTATTATTTCTGTGTGTGTGACTTTAATAGATGAAAAAGAAAGAAAATCTTGGAAAACTTCACATGGAGAGGGAGCCCCATTTTCTTCTTTTTTTCTTTCTTGTTGGTCATGGGGCTTGAACTCAGGGCCTGGGCGCTGTCCCTGAGCTCTTTTGCTCAGGGGTAGTGCTCTACCACTGAGCCACAGCTCCACTTCCTTGGAGCCCCATTCCAGTCTTCCACTTAGCTACACCACACATCTGAAACCTAAGGCATTTAGTTCTTTGTATCTCTAGCCACAGGCCTGGTGTGAGGCCAGGGGCCGTGGATGTGTCCTGGACAACCTGACTCAGTGGTATTGTCTGTGAGGGCCATCTGAGGCATATCTTGTTCTCTAACATGAGTCTGGTTAATTGGAGGTAAGTCTCCCAGATCCTCCTGCCTGGGCTGGCTTTGAACCACAGTCCTCAGAACTTGCTTCCTCAGTAGCTAGGATTACAGGTGTGAACCATTGGTGCCCAGCCAGAAACTCAGTTTTATCTGGGGTTTCCATCTGAATTCTTTTCAAGGTAGGCTGGTCTTGAACTCAAGATCTTTTTACCTCAGCTTGTTGTATAGCTGGGATTTTAGACACAGGCCA